TAATTATCCTAGTTGCTTTTCTCTGTACTTTTTCCAAACATCTTTTTTTATAATGTGGAGACCAAAACTGGATGTAGTATTCCAGGTGTGGTCGTACTAAAGCTTTATGAAGTGGTACTAATACTTTGCATGATTTTGATTCTATGCCTCTGTTTATACAACCAAGGATTGTATTAGCTGTTCTGGCGGCTGCCACACACGGCTGGCTCATGTTTAAGTGATTAAGGACTCGGGGGTCTCCCTCACAGCCCCCCACTTGTTTACTCTGGCTTATGAGCTGCTTTGATGCTTCTCACCATTGTAAAACATTTGTTACAACAGTTACTTAGTGCTATGTGACAGTTGCCCAGGTTGAGTGTGGCCAAGCAGTTTCCAAAGTGATTTTCAAGAAGCCGTGGGAACCTTTTGGGAACCTCATTCCAGCTGCTCAACTAAAATAGTTGGAGCTGGCCTAATGTGAAATAACTTCCCTTTGACTGTTGTACGTGTGAGAAACTATTTTGGGTGGGTAGGGAGGGCATGCAGATGATACCACTCTAATGGCAGAAAGTGAAGAGGAACTAAAGAGCCTCTTGATGCGGGTGAAGAAAGAGAGTGCCAAAGTTGGCTTGAAACTCAACATTAAAAAAAACAAAATCATGGCATCCGGCCCTCTCAATTCCTGGCAAATAGATGGGGAAGAAATGGAGGTAGTGACAGATTTTATTTTTCTGGGCTCCAAGATCACCTCAGATGGGGACTGCAGCCAAGAAATTAAAAGACGCTTGCTCCTGGGGAGGAAGGCTACGGCAAATCTAGACAGCATTCTAAAAAGCAGAGACGTCACCCTGCCAACAAAAGTGCGTGTAGTCAAGGCCTTGGTTTTCCCAGTTGCAATGTATGGCTGTGAAAGTTGGACCCTAAGAAAGGCTGAGCGCCAAAGAATGGAGGCCTTTCAACTCTGGTGCTGGAGAAGACTCCTACGAGTCCCCTGGACTGCAAGGCGATCCAACCGGTCAGTCCTAGAGGAGATCAACTCTGACTGCTCTTTAGAAGGCCGGATCCTGAAGCTGAAACTCAAATACTTTGGCCACCTAATGAGAAGGAAGGACTCCCTGGAGAAGAGCCCGATGCTGGGAAAGATGGAGGGCAAGAGAAGAATGGGACGACAGAGAATGAGATGGCTGTATGGAGTCCCTGAAGCAGGAGGTGTGAACTTCAATGGACTCCAGAAGATGGTAGAGGACAGGAAGACCTGGAGGAACGTTGTCCATGGGGTCGCGATGAGTCGGACACGACTTCGCAATTAACAACAACAACAAGGGAGGGCATCTTTTGCAAAACACTTTTTGCAAAATCTCCTGCAACTCTTTGCATGGGAAATATCCCCCCCAAATAGTGAGATTTTTTAAAACTGCTGGCTGCAGGTCTTCAGTCGCTAGGCAGGGGGAATTGCAGAGGACAGCTGTGCTTGCTGAACGAATCTTGTGTGGCTTGTGTTGCAGCGGCCCTTGTAAAAAGGGTGACTTCTTTTTCTCTCTCCCCCCCCCCCCAGTATTTGCTGAGACAGATGACTCTAAGTCAGCTCTTCTCCAAAATAATCGAGCCTCTTGCATTATTGCTCAAATGTTTGGCAACAGGAAGTCCTTGCCTTGCTTCTTCTTTCTTAGAAGTGGCTGCTATGACAACCTTTCACTTTAACGGAGTCCTAATCTGATCACAGGACTTGGAGATATTTTAATTTGGGGAGCATTTCTAATGAACCCTTCGCACTATTTGCGGTCACATTGCAGTTTGATTGTGGGTGACAATCAACTTTTTTGGACTTAGAAAGTTGTATTCTTGACTTTCTCTCTGTTCCAATTGGTTTGTTTGTCCACATCTATCAAGCCAAGGATCTGGTCTAAATACAGAACTGGGCTAAGTTCCTCAAGCAACGTTTCTGATGCTTGCGCCAGCATTTTTTTTTGTTTGTCTCTGCCGCAGCCTGATCGTACTATGAGCCATGCACAAGGAGTAATGATGTACTTATTCTATGAATGCCTTTGAAGGGTATTGTTGAGTCTGAGCAGGCCAAGTGACTCATGTGATTAGTTCAGAATAGAATAAAGAATACCAGAGCTGGAAGGGATCTTGGAGGTCTTCTAGTCCAACCCCCTGCTCAAGCAGAACTCCCAGCACCATTTCTTCTGAAGGCAAGCTCTTTCCACTGGTTAATTATCCTCACTGTTAGGAAGTTTCTCCTTAATTCCAGGTTGCTTCTCTCCTTTTTTTTTTAATTGAAGAGTTTTATAAAAGTTACAATATAAACCCCAAAACCAACCCACCTTAAACCCCCCTCTCCCTCCCCCACTTCCCAGAGCTGAATACAGGGTTACAATTATAATAATCCTAATCTAACTAACATTAACCAACTCTATAAATAAAGGTTGCTTCTCTCCTTGATTAGTTTCCATCCATTATTTCTTGTCTAACCCTAACCCAGTGGTTCTCAACCCGTGGGTCAGGACCCCATTTGGGGTCGAACGACCATTTCACGGGGGTCGCCAAACAAGGCTGTCCGCCATTTTTCCCCCCTTTTCTTTGGCCACGCCCCTGGCACCCGGTGATGTATAAGTGGTTGGGGGTCACCACAACATGGGGAACTGTATTATGGGGTCGCGGCATTAGAAAGGTTGAAAATCACTGGACTAGAAGATCTCATAAGGTCCCTTCCAGCTGTAGGAGTCTTACGAGCCTTTCCCAATCTGACCCCTTGTGGAAAGCTCGGGACTCCACTAGCACACCTGGAGGGCACCAGGTTGGCAGATGTTTGCTTCTGTTTGAGTGCTGAGGCACGTACGGTAGGGATGGTGGTGGGATTTCTTTTTTTTTTTTAACTTAATAATTTTTTTATTTTTCCAAACTCTCCCCCATACGTATACCGTGATATTTATCAGAGGTTAACATACATTCTTTTTACATTCATATATATAAGATACTTTTAATAAAATGAAATAAATACATAAAGAAATGAAATAAATACATAATCAAATGAATGTATTTATGAATGAATAAACGAATGAAATAAATACATAAACAAATAAACACTTTTGGTGTTGCTCGCTTGCCCATTTCCCCTTTCACTGTATCCACACATTCCTTCTTCTCCCCCTTCTTTCTCCCTTTCTTTTCTTTCTTCCCTACTTCCCTCTTCTTCTTCTCCTCTTCTCTTTCCTTCACACTCTCCTCCCCTTTCTCCCCACCTCTCCTCTTCTCCTCCAACCTTCCTACTTCCTTCTCCCCTCCTTTACTCTCTCCTTTCGTCCCTCTCATCCCTCTTCAGATACAACTCAGGGGTAACGTCCGAGCAACTCCTCTCCAAATTTCGTGGTGGGATTTCTCCGTCAGGGACACACGGTTGTCATGGTTATTGGAAGCAGAGAGGTACGGGGGGGGAAAAAAATGAACTGCCTGGGTGTCTTTTTTTTTTTTAATTTTTTTTTTAACCTCCTCCTCTTCTTCGTGTTTTTTTTCTCTCCGCCTCCTCATTGCGTCTCCTCAATCTGGGCTTTCCAAGACGACTCAAACGTGGTGTTGGTTTTTCTGTGCTTGCTCTCAGGGAACGGGGTTGAGTCAGACAGGAGATTTCAGATGATTCAGTCAGATCCTCCTTCAGGCTAGGATGAGCTATCCCAGGGTTTACGAGGGGCAACTGACCCTCGGCGTCTCAAGACCCCCTGGGCAACCCCCAGGCACAAGGATGAGCGGGAACGGACTGCGGCTGAGCCAGACCCAGAGAGGGAGCAGCGTGGGAAAGGTGTGTTGGGGGCAAGTGTCGGGCGTTTGGGTGTGAAGAAAAAGCCCACCTGCGTGAAGTCAGACACAGGAGAGAATTAGGGGCTGATTAGTTTTCTTCAGCGACTTGTTTCCACTGAAAGTTCAGTTCTTGTTTTTTTTAAATAAAAATAAAAATGGTATTTATAGCTTAAGTTGGTGGTTTGACTCATCAAATGTGCCGCAGCAGAGTTTACAAGCCTAATTCATTTCTGCTTATGATAAAGAGGTGGAATTTCAGCTGCTGTTGTTTTTTTTTTGTGTGTGTGTGTTTTGTTTTTTTTAATTGCGTTTTGGCTGGCTCGTTTTGAGTCACTGGAAGAAGTTGGCCAGCTTTTGGCGGTGTTCTGAATTCCATAAATTCCATAAGTAGATGTGGAACTGGGAAGAGTCCTGGCTTTTGGACAGTGGGCTGATGCTGATGATCGTAGGAATCCTTGTAATTTGGGAGGTCCTGGGTCTTTTACTGTACTGCTTCAGATTCAGCAGCTCATTCTTTTCACGCAAGGCGGGCACAGTAAGCGTTATCTTGGATTGAAATTTATTTTAGTCACATTTCTCTCAAGTGAGACTATATATAAGAAGAAGCGTGCTACGGAACATTTGGGGTTTGAGATGAATCAGAGATGAATTTCTGACCCCCAAATACTTTCAGACGTTGAGATTTTCGGGAGAAAAGAACACAACTTGTTTTCATTTCGGCCTGGGGTCTTTGGCACAACCACGGAGCTAAAGATTTTATGTGCCCTCTCCCAAGTCTGCCTGCGTTATATCTGCAAAATTAAATATGATTTTTTTTAAAAAAGTATGCAGTTTCTATGGTGTTAAATCATAATAATAATAATAATAATAGTAGTAGTAGTAAAGTTGGAAGGGACCTTGGAGGTCATCTAGTCCAACCCCCTGCTCAGGCAGGAAATCCTACACCATTTCGGACAAATGGCTGTCCAGTCTCTTCTTAAAAACTTCCAATGTTGGAGCAATTACTGCTTCTGGAGGCAGGTTGTTCCACTGGTTAATTGTCCTCACTGTGTGAGATGCACTCATTTGTGTGACCCTGCCCTACGTAAGTGCTGGAGTAGAACATGTGAAGGCTTTTGGGGTGGCGGGAAAATCAGAATCCAGCTCCTCAGGTCACGAGGACCTTGTTCACCAGTTCACGCCCGTTAACAAACACCCTCTTTTCTCTCTATTTTTTTTTTCAGAACAAAGAAAAAGAAAGGATGAAGGAAGGCAAAGATAAAGACGCCCGCTATACCAACGGGCACCTCTTCAATTCCATCACAGTCTCTGGCATGACCATGTGTTACGCGTGTAACAAGAGCATCACCGCCAAAGAGGCACTGATTTGTCCAAGTGAGTAAGAGCCCTCCTTATTAGTTCGGAGCGTCTAAGATAGTTTGAATGGATTCAGCAGAGTGAAAGTGTGTGTTAAACACTGGGGGGGGGGACTGTTTCCCCAATCCTTCCCACACGCACACACACACACTTAAATTCCCTGTAGAGCAGTGGTTCTCAACCTGTGGGTCGGGACCCCATTTGGGGTCGAACGACCATTTCACGGGGGTCACCAAACAACGCAGTCCGCCATTCCCCCCCCCTTTTCCTTAGCTGTGCTCCTCCCTTTTATTCTATTGCCTTTTGAAAGCCAATAGAATTGCCTTTTGAAAGCCAATAGACTCTCTTGAATAGAGTCTAATTCTATTGGCTTTCCAAAGCCAATAGGAATTGTCCAGGCTGTCTCTGCCCTGCTGAGCCCGCCAAAAGCCCCATTCTGCAAACGGGGCTGCACCAGTTGAGTAGTCCTCGACTTACGACCGGTTGAGTAGTCCTCGACTTACGACCGGTTGGGGGGAGGTCGCGCCATTAAAAAGGTTGAGAACCACTGCCCCAGCAGATCAAGAGCTGGAGGGAGACAGGTAGCTCCAGGTACAAGGCAGAGCATCCCTTTCCCCACTCTTCTTGCATCCCACTTAGAGGCTGGTTCCCATCTAGTGTCACAGTAAATCCGTTGGGCTGTGATTAGGGAGACGCGGGTTCAAATCCCTGCCTGGTCCTGAAATGCCTTGAATGATTTGGGAGCATTCTCTCCCTCTCCCTGTCTCTCTCCTTTTCTCTCTCCCCATTCTCTCTCATCCTTTCTCCTCCCTCTCTCTCTCTCTCTCTCTCTCTCTCTCTCTCTCTCTCTCTCCCCCCTTCTCCCCCCCCCCCTCCAGCCTATCTTTAGGGCTCCTTGCTGAGTTTTTCCTTTATATTGAGTAGACAGAATGAAGGGTATAAATGCAATCAATATCAGTAGGAACCAATGATTCATAGGCTCTCTGTTTGTTGTCCTTGTTTATTTTTCTTGTTTGGGCCTTTTCTAAGTGTGTTGAAATTAGAGTCTGTACCATGCCAACTGTGAGCCCCCAAGCTTCTGCCAACGCCTGGGCTCAGGACTGGAGGAGGAGGAGGAGGAGTTGTTGTGTGGGTGCTCCCTAATCCCAAACTTGATGTGCGAAGACTGCCCATTCTGTGCGAGCTGCAACAGCCTCTTGCTAAGCAGACAGTGCTGTTGGGCTTTCTCTTCCCTGCTGTAAATTAGGGTGGACTGGACTTGGGGAGATGGATCTCCAGGGAGTAGCTTGGACTCATTGATGTGTTGTGTGAAACCAGCCCTTTTGGTTAATTCATCAGTCCAGGAAATGTTCATGCAGACGTAGTACATTTGAGACCGATTTTAAAGAAACCGATTCAAAATTAATATTCCTTTTGCAATGCGTTTTAATTTAAATATTTGCCCGCCCAATGAAGTCAAAGATACAGAGCTGCGTGCATACCAATTAACCTGCTTTACCATTGCTGTGGATAGTGGAGGCATTCTTCAGTTTGTGTTTTTCATATTTGAACTATGTTTGAATTATGTCGCTGTCGAGGGAGAGCTTGGTGGCTGGGGAATTCTGGGAACTGAAGTCCACAAGTCTTAAGGTTGCCAAAGTTGGAGACCCCTGTTATAGATAATAATAATAATAATAATAATAATAATAATAATAATAATAATAATAGTAGTAGTAGTAGTAGTAGTAGTAGTAGTAGTAGTAATAGTAATAGTAATAATAAAGTTGGAAGGGACCTTAGAGGTCATCTAGTCCAACACCCTGCTCAGGCAGGAACCCTACACCATTTCAGACAAATGGCTGTCCAGTCTCTTCTTAAAAACTTCCAGTGTTGGAGCATTCACTGCTTCTGGAGGCAGGTTGTTCCACTGGTTAATTGTTCTCACTGTCAGGAAGTTTCTCCTTAGTTCTAGGTTGCTTCTCTCTTTGGTTAGTTTCCATGTGTTGCTTCTTGTCCTGCCTTCAGGTGCCTTGGAGAATAGCTTGACTCCCTCTTCTTTGGGGCAGCCCCTGAGATACTGGAACCCTGCTATCATGTCCCCCTCGTCCTTCTCTTCCTTAAACTAGACATACCCAATTCCAGCAACCGTTCCTTATGTGTTTTAGCCTCCAGTCCCCTGATCATCTTTGTTGCTCTTCTCTGTACTCTTTCTAGAGTCTCAACATCTTTTTTACATCGCGGTGACCAAAACTGGATGCAGGATTCCAAGTGTGGCCCTCTTTCTTCTTCCATTTGGCCCAAAGGGTGTACAGGTAGTCCTCGACTTACAGCAGTTCCTTTAGTGACCATTCAAAGTTACACTGTCACTGAAAAAAGTTTTTCACACTTACGACCACTGCAGTATCCCCATGGTCACATGGGCAAAATTGAGCCACTTGGGGAAAGCAGTTTCACTTAACAACCGTGTTTCTAATTTACCAACTGCAGGGATTCACTTAACAACTGTGGCAAGAAAAGTCGTAAAATGGGGCAAAACTCACTTAACAAACGTCTCATTTAGCAACAGAAATTTTGGGCTCAGTTGTGGTCGTAAGCTGAGGGCTACCTGTATTTATGTGTGAGGCACCAGTCCAGGCGCAATATCGCACCTTTTTGTAAGAGAAATGCCTGATGTGCAGGACTGGGTCTGGACAGGAACCCGGCAGTCTTGCAAAGGCTCCCAGGCTGGGTCCCTGCCCTCTCCTTGCTCGTTGTTTCACAACTGGCCTGCAGCCAGATTGTGCTGATTTCCCCTTGTTTAACCGTGGAGGGGGCAAAGTTGCGTTTGTGCAATCAAGCCGTCCCAGGGCCGTTGGCAGCCAGGGGCATCGTCTGGCTGAATGGTGTCCGTTGTCTTCTGAGCCCTTATCTGGGACAGTTCAGTTCTCTGGCCTTGTAACTTTCCTTTTGCAAAGGTGGGGGAGGCCTCTGTCACTGAACAATAAGACCCTGTAGCCACCAAAACTCTTAGGTTTCCCAGCTGAAAAAAAAATGAAAATAAGCGATCTTTGCAAATGCTGTTATTAGACATGGCAATAGCGCTTAGACCAACGGTTCTCCACCTGTGGGTCGGGACCCCATTTGGGGTCGAACGACCATTTCACGGGGGTCGCCAAACAACGCAGCCCGCCATTTTTTCCCCCCTTTTCCTTAGCTGTGCTCCTCCCTTTTATTCTATTGGCTTTTGAAAGCCAATAGAATAGACTCTCTTGAATAGAGTCTAATTCTATTGGCTTTCAAAAGCCAATAGGAATTGTCCAGGCTGTCTCTGCCTTGCTGAGCCCGCCAAAAGTCCCATTCTGCAAACGGTGCTGCACCGGTTGAGTAGTCCTCGACTTACAACCGGTTGAGTAGTCCTCGACTTACGACCGGTTGGGGGTCGCAGCATTAAAAAGGTTGAGAACCACTGATTTAGAGAGTAAAGCACTGTGAAGCGGGATATAAGTCTAAGGGCTATTGCTGTGGCTATTGCTATTGTCATCTTGGCTATTGTTGCCTTTGGAGGGCTCCAATGCTCTGGCCTTTTGGCAAATAGGCCACTCTCCTCCCCGTCCTCTCCGGCAAAGCCAGGATGGGGCAGGACAAGGGGGGAGGACATGTTATGTATGTGGTGAGAACTGGGTCAACAGCACAATTCCTCTCATGTCTGAGAAAATATCTACAGACCCCTCGCATCCTGGACATAAACTGTTTCAACTTCTCCCATCTGGATGCTGCCACAGGGCACTGCATGCCAAAACAATTAGACACAAGGATGGTTTTCCCCCCAGCTCCATCACTCTGCTGAACATCTAATTCCCACAGCCCTGCGTTAGGCCTAAAGCCAAGTAGTAGGGCTGTATTGCTATTATCCTTCTCATCTTTCCTACTACCTTCTCACATTGGTATCTATGATTTATCAATTGTTGCACCTTATAATTAATGATTGTATCTATGATCTATGACCTATCACTTTGTTGTTGTATGTACACCGAGAGCTTATGGACCCGAGACAAATTCCTTGTGTGTCCAATCATGCTTGGCCAATAAAGAATGCTATTGCTATTTCTATTCTATTCTATTCTATTCTATTCTATTCTATTCTATTCTATTCTATTCTGTTTTCTACTCTATTCTATTTTCTATTCTATTCTATTTTCTGTTTTCTATATTCTGTTCTATTCTATTATTCTATTCTACTATTCTATTCTATTTTCTGTTTTCTATATTCTGTCCTATTCTATTATTCTATTTAATTCTATTCTACTATTCTATTCTATTTTCTACTCTATTCTATTTTTTATTCTATTTTCTTTCTATATTTTGTTCTATTTTGTTCTATTCTATTTTATTTTCTGTTTTCTATATTCTGTTCTATTCTATTATTCTATTCTATTCTATTTTCTGTTTTCTATATTCTGTTCTATTCTGTTCTATTCTATTATTCTATTCTTTCTATTTTCTGTTTTTATATTCTGTTCTATTCTATTCTATTATTCTATTCTATTCTATTATTCTATTCTATTTTCTATATTCTGTTCTGTTCTGTTCTATTCTACTATTCTATTCTATTCTATTCTATTCTATTCTATTCTATTCTATTCTATTCTATTCTATTCTATTCTATTCTCTGTTTTCTGTTTTCAGTTTTCTATATTCTGTTCTATTCTGTTCCGTTCCATTCCATTGTGGAATGTATGTAAAAAACCAAATATGTTCTTTTGGCTTTTGCCCTTGGCACGTGTGAATATGATCACGACATTAAGCCCCAAACCATGACTGTGTCCCCATGGACAGGTGACCTCGTGTCAGAGGGAGGGGCTTGCAGCATCTCTTATTTGGCGATTTCTAGCTTTGACAGTCCTAGATCTGCATCAGGTTTTTCCTCCTCCTCCCTCTCCCCCAGGTCTTCAGTGAGAGGAAGGGAGGAAAAACGTTGCCCTTGCCTGACAATGCTGCCTGGGGTTGCCTTCATAAACGCAGAAGGGATCTTAAAGATCCTCTAGTCCACCCCTCTACCCAGTGCAGGATTCCATCTTATCTTAAACCCATCTGGCAAATCTCAAGGCCAGCGTCATTTATTTTACTTTATTAAATTTATATGCCAGCTGTCTCCCCAATAAGATGACTCTGGGCAGCTTCCAAACAAAGCAACGATTTTATGTCAACTCAAGGACGAGAGCTTAGTGGTGCGGAAAAGCCCAGTTAAACCTTGTTTAACTCCGTTGGCGGCCAAGAACAAGGGAGACGTAACTAGGGAACGTCATATCCACAGAGTACACTTTGGTGCACTGTCTGGCTGCCTTAAAGCCACTGCAGCAAAGCGCCTTTGACCCTGGAAAAGGCTTTGCAAAGACGTTCTCACTTCCGTTTACTGCTTGGAGTTGTGCCCCATAATGGGGAATTGGCTTCCTCCATCTCATCTCATTTTCTTCCTCCGCATCACGAACATGACATCACTTCCTCTTCTGCTGCCAGGTGCTTTTGCCGCTGCCGATTCTGAAAACTTTAATTTTGATCAAGGAAGAAGAGAGCTAAGAAGAATAAAAGGGAGTAGCACAGCTAAGGAAAAGGGGGAAAAAAATGGCGGACTGCGTTGTTTGGCGACCCCTGTGAAATGGTCGTTCGACCCCAAATGGGGTCCTGACCCACAAGTGGAGAACCACTGTCCTGGAGAGAACCAGCAGGCCTGTGTGATCGTGCAGCATCTGCAGTAAGATCCTCTCCAGTTCATTAGCAAGCCGCCATAAACCCAAGTGTGGGGCTTTTGAGAGAGAGAAAATGGCTTGGGAAGAAATGGAGCCTCCAGACTCCCTCCAGTCCAACCCCCCCTCCCCACCTTCTCAGTGCAAACTGGCATCTGTAACAGCTGCTTCTTTTAAAACTCCACAATAGGTCTGCAGCTCTCCCCTCCTGCCCTGCCCTTCCCTTCCTTTCCCAGTACAGACACAATCAGGAAATGACTCTTTGAACAGTCAAGTTCTCTTCCTGTTCAGATCGCTTCCTGCCCGCCTGGGGTTTCTCAACCGTTCTCTGAGTCACGGAATGGGTGAAGGGGGGCCCTGTTCTTTAGGCTACAGTGGGACATGCAGGATATTCTAAGTAATGAAGAAAAAGTAGAGATTCCCTAAAAGCCGAGTGGATTTTTCAGCCCTCTGGAGACTAGGGGTAAATCAAGGATAATCTTAATTTTTTTTTTTTTGAACTGTGCATAGGGATCTGGATTCCAAATTGACTTGCTTGACCTACACCAGTGGTTCTCAACCTTTTTAATGCTGCGACCCCCCCCCAACCGGTCGTAAGTCGAGGACTACTCAACCGGTGCAGCACCGTTTGCAGACTGGGACTTTTGGCGGGCTCAACAAGGCAGAGACAGCCTGGACAATTCCTATTGGCTTTTGAAAGCCAATAGAATTAGACTCTGTTCAAGAGAGTCTATTCTATTGGCTTTCAAAAGCCAATAGAATAAAAGGGAGGAGCACAGCTAAGGAAAAGGGGAAAAAAATGGCGGACTGCGTTGTTTGGCAACCCCCGTGAAATGGTCGTTCGACCCCTAATGGGGTCCCGACCCACAGGTTGAGAACCACTGCTCTGGAGTCTAAGGGTAAATCAAGGACAGTCTTAGGGATCTGGATTCCAAATTGACTTGCTTGATCTACACAGTCTGCCTTCTAAACTACCAATGAAGGTAGTGTACTTTGGAAGGGAAGTAAAATTAGATTGCCCGTTACCGTTTTCTCTAAGGCAGGAGTGGCGAACCTATGGCACGGGTGCCAGAGGCGGCACTCAGAGCCCTCTCTGTGGGCACATGCGCCGTCGCCTCAGTCCTAGGCCTTCAACTGGGTTTTATAAAACCTTTTTGCTTTAGGCCTCCGCCGCCGTGTGCAAAACAAAAAAGGTTCAATCAATCCGTCAATTTCAACTTCTCACGGGAAAAAAAAAGATCTTGCAAAGTTGGAATTGATTGATTGAACTTTTTAGTCCCACCCAGTCTGCTGTTACCACTGCAGCCACGCCCACCCAATGGGACACAGCCAGCCAATAGGCCACACCCAGCCAATGGGCCACACCCACCCGGCACTCGATGATGCATAAGTGGGTTTTGGGTTGCAGTTTGGGCACTCGGTCTCTAAAAGGTTCGCCATCACTGCTCTAAGGAGCGGGTAGGAGTTAAGGATCTCTAACTGAGAAGGGTTTACAACAACTCGCTACTGCCAACTCAGTGCAGTCAAACTCACCACGGGCAACCCACCATGTGACAACTTGTCATGGCCCACTCGCCATGGGACAATCACGGAGGAACAAGAGTTACACTAATATCGGGGGAAAAAAAGTGGAATAGAACCATTAAAGCACTGGTTCTCCACCTGTGGGTCGGGACCCCATTTGGGGTCGAACGACCATTTCACGGGGGTCGCCAAACAACGCAGTCCACCATTTTTCCCCCCTTTTCCTTAGCTGTGCCACTCCCTTTTATTCTCTTGGCTTTTGAAAGCCAAGAGAATAGACTCTCTTGAATAGAGTCTCATTCTATTGGCTTTCAAAAGCCAATAGGAATTGTCCAGGCTGTCTCTGCCCTGCTGAAGCAAAGCTTTATCACAAGCCTGCAAAATAGCAACAGCACATATATACACATATACAAATATACATACATATGTATACACACACACACACACACACACACCCTGCTTCATAGCGCTTTACAGCCCTTTCTAAGAGTCAGCCTCTTGCCCCCAACTATCCAGGTTCCCACTTTACCGACCTCAGAAGGACGGAAGGCTGAGTCAACCTGGAGCCAGTCAGGATCAAACTGCTGGCAGTGGGCAGAGTCAGCCTGCAATGCTGCATTCTAACCACTGCGCCATCAAGGCTCTTCCAGTCTTGTAACTATGATCGATATATCAGAGTCAAGCTATTCTTCAAGGCGGTCCCGACCCACAGGTTGAGAACCACTGATTTAAAATTTGATCTTTTATGGGTTTCTGGTATGCCACAGACCGGTGCCGCTCCGCGGCCTGGGGGTTGGGGACTTTTGACCTATGGCCCTGGGATTTCCTAGTGGTGTCCCACCCACCTGCTGATGAAGTGCAGCTTTTGGAGATCAGGCAAGTGCGCCAATCTGTGCGGGCTTGCGTCTACGTGCAACCAATGTATTTTGACGTCCCTTTCTCAAACGGCCTTTGTTTTTCCTTTCCAGCCTGTAATGTGACCATCCACAACCGTTGCAAAGACAGCCTACCAAACTGCACCAAAGTCAAGCAAAAGGTAAGCAGGCAGTGGAACTGCCCTCTGCCCTTCCCGTTGCCTCGCCCAGATTTCGGACCTGGGGAACCCAACTTCCGCTTTTCAAAACACCCTCAAGCTTTGAAACCTGACCCTAAAACTAAAGACAAAGACTGGAAGAGAATTTCACAAAGGGGTTTCATTGCTCTTTGGATCATCAGTAGCACAGGGCCATTCTTCCCGCCGCTGACCCTTGGAAAGTGCCAGGGATGAGAAAGGCTTGGTAATTCATTTGACAATTCACAGATTTTTTTTTTAAAAAAAAATATTCTCTGTCTAGGACAGTGGTTCTCAACCTTTTTAATACCGCGACCCCCAACCGGTCGTAAGTCGAGGACTACTCAACCGGTCGTTAAGTCGAGGACTACTCAACTGGTGCAGCACCGTTTGCAGACTGGGACTTTTGGCGGGCTCAGCAGGGCAGAGACAGCCTGGACAATTCCTATTGGCTTTGGACAGCCAATAGAATTAGACTCGATTCAAGAGAGTCTCTTCTATTGGCTTTCAAAAGCCAATAGAATAAAAGGGAGTAGCACAGCTAAGGAAAAGGGGGGGGGGAAATGGCGGACTGCGTTGTTTGGCGACCCCCGTGAAATGGTCGTTCGACCCCAAATGGGGTCCCGACCCACAGCTTGAGAACCACTGGTCTAGGGGTTTCCAGAGGACCTACAGCAGTGGTGGCGAACCTATGGCACGGGTGCCAGAGGCGGCACTCGGAGCCCTCTCTGTGACCCCCTCCTCTCCAGCTGCCCCCCTGAAGGAGAGTCGCCCCCGAGGGTGGCCCACAAGGAGCAGCGCAGCCAAGGACATGGCACCCAGGCAGCGTAGACAAGACTCTGCCCTCACACCCCATCGTGCACAGTTGATGCTGCAGGGCACGGCAGAGGACGTGGCCACCATAGCGCCACTGGGCTGCCTGGGCGATCTGCGGCGGGCCCTGGAGGCGGTGAGCGGCCCTGTGGGCAGGTAGGGTGGGGAATGGGGGACGGGGCAGGGGATGGAGAATGGGCAGGGCTAGTTTTTGGGCACTCGGTCTCTAAAAGGTTCGCCATCACTGATCTAGAACAGTGATGGCGAACCTTTTAGAGACCGAGTGCCCAAAAACTGGCCTCGCCTCCAGCCCGCCCCCTGCCCTGCCTGTCCACAGGGCCACTCACCACCTCCAGGGCCCGCCAGAGATCGCCCACGCAGCCCAGCAGCGCCATGGCGGCCATGCCCTCTGCCCGCGCCATCAACTGTGCGCGATGGAGCATGAGGACAGAGTCTTGTCCACGCTGCCTGGCTGCCATGACCTTGGCTGTGCTTCTCTGCGTGAGCCACGCTCGGGGGTGACTCTCCTCCAGAGGGGCTGCTGGTGAGGAGGGGGTTATGGGGGGAGGTGAGGCTGGGGCAACGGCACGTGTGCCCACAGAGAGGGCTCCAAGTGCCGCCTCTGGCACCCGTGCCATAGGTTCGCCACCACAGATCTAGGGCTGAGAGACAGGCTGGGCCTCAGAGAGTCTACCTCTGCAATCTTTTATAAAAGCCCTCTGCCAGACAGAAAATGGGGAGAGAAACTTCAAGAAGGGGTGTTTCTCTTCCTAAGATCGATTGATGGACTATTTATTTATTTGTATCCCCCCTTTTTACCAATAACTCAGGGTGGTAAACATATCCAACCTGTCTTCCTTCTCCTATTTGCTCCTCAACAGTAACCCTGTGAGGAGGGTTGGGCTAAGAGATTGGCTTTCCTAACTATCCATGAAATCCCTGACAAATAGACCAGGACCTTCCAGGCTTCTTGATCTGAGTTTGATCAAACTGCTATTTTTTTTGATGTCTTTCTTCTTCCGTCCTTCGCTTGCCTCCCGCTGCAGCAACAAAAAGCCGCCTTGCTGAAGAACAGTTCAGCGTTGCAGACGGTCTCCCTCAGGAACAAAAGTGAGTTTGGGGCTGGGAATCCCCCGCTTGCAAGTCCAGCCGATGCCCAGAGAGCAGCGTACAGCTTCTTGTCTTTGGCACAGGCAGTCCTCGACTTACGACCACGACTCAGCCCCAAAAGTTGATGTTGCTAAGTGAGAAATTTGCTCGGTGAATTTTGCCCCATTTTACGACTTTTCTTGCCACATTTCTTAAGCGAATCACTGCAGTTGTCGAATTAGTAGTCGAATCACTGCAGTTGTTAAGTGAATCTGGCTTCCCCATTGACTTTGCTTGTCAAAAGGTCGCAAAAGCGGATCACGTGACCCTGGGATAATGCAGGCGTCATAAATGTGAGTCAAGCATCCAAATGTAAATCGCCTGAGGGATGCTGCAATGGTCATAAGGGTGAAAAACGGTCATAAGTCACCATTTTTCAGTGCTAATATAACTTTGAGCTGTCGCTAAACGAATGGTTATAAGCAGAGGACTACCTGTATATCAAATCTTTGTTATGGTCGTAGTCTAACATAAGAAGGGTGATAAGCTTTTGAATAACTTATGCTTAAGGATGGTAATTTTTGTTTTTATGTATTGGAGTTAAAGTGTTTAAAATTTTGTTTTTTGGATGTATGTATAATTGTTTGATGTTTATTTAAGTTCTATGTTTTTTGTTGTTTTTAACCCTGTATTCAGCTCTGGGAAGTAGGGGGGAGGGGTTGGGAGGGAGGGAGTATTTTATTGTAAAATTTTATAAACTTTCAATTAAAAAAAAAGAAGGGTGGGATACAAATGATCATTTTAAAAGCTAAGAAATAGAAAATAAACCGAGAATGGGATTTGATTGACACACTTGAACTTACAACCCTTTTTAAATCGAAAATTGGGTCTTGGATTCCCTTCTCATTTCCGCTCTCGAGATATCTTGACAATTCTTGAGTGCCAGACAGTCTTTCCTTTTTTTAAATCAAGATTGCTCTGCTTGAGTCCAGACAGGGAGAAGGTTATTAGGTTGCCTTGAGCCAAAGGATTTTCCTTAATTTGTTGTTGTTAATTGCAAAGTCGTGTCCGACCCCTCGCGACCCCATGGACCACGTTCCTCCAGGCCTTCCTGTCCTCTACCATCTTCTGGAGTCCATTTAAGTTCACGCCTGCTGCTTCAGGGACTCCATCCAGCCACCCCATTCTCTGTCGTCCCCTTCTTCTCTTGCCCTCCATCTTTCCCAGCATTAGGCCCTTCTCCAGTGAGTTTTTCCATAATACTTCCATCCAAAGTAATTTTTTTTTTCCCATCCTGAGAAATGCAAAAGGGCTGGGTTTCAAAAGAATAGAAGTCTGCCTTTCTAACCCTCGCTGGGTGCTTGTTCCCATTTTTTTAGCCATCACACGGGAGCGTCCCAATTCTGCCATTTACCCGTCAGAGAGTTTCCGGCAGACCTTGCTGGGATCCCGCCGAGGCCGTCCTACCTTGTCGCTCTCCAAAAGTGTCTCCACCACAAACATTGCAGGGTGAGTTAACCAAACAGAGGATTTGTCTGTGAAATTCAGGAAAAACACATCGGCAGGCTGCTCTGAAAGTTGTAAGAACCGGGTATGTCGTCTATACCCTGTTTCCCCGAAAGTAAGGCTTACCCTGAAAATAAGCCCTAGCTTGATTTTTGGGGGGTGAGCCTAATATAAGCCCTACCCCCCTCAAATAAGCCCTAGTTTTGGGGCGAGGCACACATCTAAAAATCAAGCTAGGGCAGGGGTGGGGGGGTTGGATCTGCCCCATGCGCCCCGCACCCACTTACCTCACCCGTCCACTTCTTCTGCAGCGCCTTCTGCAGCCAGGCCTGCATTTCTTAGTCACAGGCCTTTCCGGAAGGCCACTGCAGCTGAGAACCGAGCTCTGGATTGAATCCGTAGCTCAGTACTCGGCTGTAGTGACCTTCCAGAAAGGCCTGGCTGCGAAATGTAGGCCGGAATGCAGCTGCTCCTTCAGCCGCAGAAGAAGTGGGTCAGCTGCATGGCGCTGTCGGTGCCAGAAGTATAAAAGACATCCCCCCCCAAAAAAATAAGACCTGGTTTCTCTTTTGGAAGGGAAAAAAAATAAAGACCGGATCTTATTTGGGGGGAAGCACAGATAGTGAAAAGAAGGACTAGGGCTGGCATCGTAGCAGATTTATGGGGCTGTCACAGAGAAGAGGGAGTGAACTTATTCTCCAAAGGACCTGCGGGCCGGACAAGAAGGAACAAGTGGAAATTTAACAATTAATAAGTGGAACGGCTTCCCTCCAGAAGTTGTGGCTGCTCCATCACTGGAGGTTCTCAAGAAGAGATCAGACAGCCATTTGTCCAGAATGAGTATAGAGCAGGAGTAGGCAACCTTGGCTCTTTTATGATTCGTGGACTTCAACTCCCAGAATTCCTGAGCCAGTGTGGGGGAACTATGGCCCCCTCATGACTTGTGGACTTCAACTCCCAGAATTCCTGAGCCAGCATGAGGGAAACTTTGGCCCCCTCATGACTTGTGGACTTCAACTCCCAGAATTCCTGAGCCAGCATGAGGGAAACTTTGGCCCCCTCATGACTCGTGGACTTCAACTCCCACAATTCCTGAGCTTGGAAACCTCTCCCTTTCCCCTCAGCATGGCTGGCTCAGGAATTCTGGGAATTGAAGTCCACGAGTCATAAAAGAGCCAAGTTTGCCTACCCTTGGTATAGGGTCTCCTGCTTGAGTTGGGGGTTGGACTAGAAGATCTCCAGGGTCCCTTCCAACTCTGTTATTCTGTTGGAATGCAGGTATATAGCTCACCTCCAACTGGTGCCCACCAGAGCATCTGCCAGTTGGCAGGAGAGGATAAAAGTTCTGTCCACTGCGCCTCAAAGATAGTACAGGTTGTCCTTGACTTACGACCACAGTTGAGCCCAACCTTACTTGCCACAGTTGTTAAGTGAATCGCTGCAGTTGTTAAGTGAGTCACAGGGTTGTTAAGCGAATCTGGCTTCCCCACTGACTTGGTTTGTCAGAAGGTCGCAAAAGGGAACCAAGTGACCCTGGGACACAGCAACCGTCGTAAATATGAACCAGTTGCCAGGAGTCTGAATCTTGATCACGTGATCCTGGGGGGGGGGATGCTGTAAAAGTCGTTAACTGTGAAAAACGGTCCTTTTTTCAGTGCCGTTGTACCCTTGAACGGTCACTAAACAAACAGTTCTAAGTCGGGGACTCCCTGTGATGACAATCACTCGTGGCCATGAATTTTGCTTTCCTTTTCAGGAGCTTCAACGACGAATCCCCGCTGGGCATCCGGAGGATCCTCTCTCAGTCCACCGACTCCCTGAACATGCGCAACCGGACCTTGTCCGTCGAGTCGCTCATTGACGAAGGTGAGGAGAGGAGGGTTCACACACCGGCAACTGTGTTTGTTTGCACACCCTTCAAGGACATTCAAAGAAATGGTTCACAAAACGCTGGAGGCGTCAATCTGGATTCTTTTTCCCCACACACACACACTGGAGGAAAACAAGTGAAATCCTAAAATTTGGAAAAGGTCAGTTGAGGCCATCTGGTCCACCATCTGATCCGTGCAGGAAGCCCCATGGAAGCCTCCCAAACAGAAGGCTGCCCAGCCTGTGGCTGAAGAGGTCACTGGTTCCTGCATCAAACTGTCCTGACGGGTAGAAAAAAACTAACTTCCAAAGATACAATGGGAATCTGCCTTTTATTTATTTCTGCCTTTATAAGTCTCTTCAAGGCTGCTTTAAGCAGTGTCCAAAAGCTGCAACTGTTGCAATCAGAGTAACAGGCAGTAACGGAAATGCTATATCTATCTATCTATCTATCTATCTATCTATCTATCTATCTATCTATCTATCTATCTATCTATCTATATCTATCTACACACACACACACACACACACATACACACGTGTGTGTGTGTGTTTTCTGAGGTTTTCACGGGTGTTTGTATGTAGGTCTTTGGTTATTCGGGTTTTCTCCCGCGTCAAATTGGAAGTGTCTTGGTGACGTTTCGACAAAGTCTCATTCGTCATCTTCAGGCTGGTGTTTTCGGCTTCGTGCTTCTAGGAGCAATAGTCCTAGAAGCACGAAGCCGAAAACACCAGCCTGAAGATGACGAATGAGACTAAAGGCTTTCCAGGTCTCCAAAGTTTTACAAGCTTCCAGAAGACCCCAGGAAAATGGGAACTTCTCTTAGGGGGCAAACTGTTCCAGCCCAAGGGTTGGTTCAGCACATTCTCACTTGCTCCTGTAACATTCATTCATTCATTCATTTTATTTTTATCCCAATGGTAGACATACCTAATATTCTTCCCTCCTCCCATTTTCCCCACATGAGGTGAGTTGAGCTGAGAGAAACTAGCAGTCACAAAGTCACCCAGCCGGCTTTCATGCCTGAGGCGGGACTAGAACTCACCGTCTCCTGGCGATTGGCCCAAAGTCACCCAGCCGGCTTTCATGTCTAGGGTGGAACTAGAATTCACCGTCTCCCAGTTTTCGACGCCAGCTTCTTCACCACTACACCAAACTGTCTCCCTTCCTGTAACTTCAAGCCATTATCGTATGCTGTGGAATGATAGAGAACAGCTTGTGATCGTCTTCTGCATGGAATATTTTCATGTTTGAAGAGTGGTGTAATTCTTCACCTCCTTCAGTCTGTTTTTCTCAGATTTTTCCATCTCTTGATAAGACTGTTCATCCGTTACTCTTCTCCGAACCTGCTCAGTTCATAGAATCATAGAATTCTTTGTTGGCCAAATATGATTGGACACACGAGGAATTTGACTCCGGTGCCTAAGCTCCCCGGGTACATATAAACAGCAAATAATAGGTCGTAGATCATAACAAACAACAACTGATAAATCATAAGAAACCAATAGGAAAAGATAGCAGGAAAGATGAGAGGATGAGAAAAGATGAGAGGTGAGACAGAGCGATGGGAATCCAGTGTTCAGCGGAGTGATGGGATGAGAGAAAAAACTAGTTGGTCAACCTTCCTTGAAAAATGGAACCCCAAACTGGACCATGGGCTTGAAAGGAGATCAGACCAAAGCAGAACCAATGAAAAGTCTTACTTCCTTTGATGCTGAAATGCTGCTGTTGCAGCCTATAATTCCACTAACCTTCCATGCATCCCCATCACACTTTTGCTTCTTATTCAGTTTCCAACCTAAGATTATTCCTATAAATGCATTTCTTTGGGGAAGAACTCTATACCTTTGCCTCTACTTAATTCCATCATGTTACTTTCAGCCCATTAATCTAATACGATTGTGTCGAACGTGGTTTCTGTCTTCTAATCTAGAGAATTAGAAAGTCTGTTCGGGAAGAGTACTAAATAGATAGCGCAGAGCAATATTGCAGCAGAAGGTTTGGCAGAATTCGTAGGGAAGGGCTGTTGTGGGAAAAAATAGAAGGTGGCAGAGATGGTATCTATAGAAACCCGACACGTTGAAATTTTCTTTGCTTATTTCATTTTTAATTCCAGTAGCTTAGAATCCTAGAGCGACAAGAGATCCTTGCTCAGAACATCCCTAAGCGAAGGTGGGGATCCTCTCTCTGTCTCCCCATCTTCTCCTTTGGTCTTTGCTCCCCACTGTCCCACTGCTCTTACATTCCTGATCCAGGGTATGGGATAGTCCTCAACTTATGACCACAATTGAACCCCCAAATTTCTGTTGTTAAGTGAGACGTTTGTTAAGTGGGTTTGGGCCCGTTTTGCGACTTTTCTTGCCCCAGTTGTTAGGTGAACTCCTGCAGCTGCTAAATTAGTCTCACGGTGGTTAAGTGAATCTGGTTCCCCCCCATTGACTTGGCTTGGCAGAAGGTCCCAGCAACCGTCATAAATATGAACCGGTTGCCAAACATCTGAATTTTAATCACGTGATCATGGGGATGCTGCAAAGGTCATAATTGTGAAAAACGGTCGTGAGTCACATTTTTCAGTGCCGTTATCTGATTCTCCTGCACCAACGGGAGTCAGTTTCTCTCTCCCCCCCTTTTTTTTCCTACACTTCCTGCTTCCCTTTCTCCTCCCCTATTTTTCTTACTGTTTTCTTTTGCATTTTTGTATTTTATATTATCAATTGATAAGAAATAAAGATGAAGTTCCAAGCATCCCCTGGCTATTGAGGAGGGGCAGGATTCTCTCTCTTTTTTTTTTTTTTACATTCATATATAAGATACTTTTAATAAAATGAAATAAATACATACACATGTCTTTTGGTGTTGCTCGCCCATTTCCCCTTTCACTGTATCCACACTCCTTCTTCTCTCCCTTCTTTCTTCTCTTTCTTCCCTACTTCTCTCTTCTTCCTCTCCTGAGACTCTAGAAAGAGTACAGAGAAGAGCAACAAAGATGATTAGGGGACTGGAGGCTAAAACATATAAGGAACGGTTGCGAGAATTGGGTATGTCTAGTTTAACGAAGAGAAGGACAAGGGGGGACATGATAGCAGTATTCCAATATCTCAGGGGCTGCCATAAAGAAGAGGGAATTAAGCTATTGTCCAAAGCACCTGAAGGCAGGACAAGAAGCAACGGGTGGAAACTCATCAAGGAGAGAAGCACCCTAGAACTAAGGAGAAACTTCCTGACAGTGAGAACAATTAATCAGTGGACCAGCTTGCCTCCAGAAGCAGTAAATGCTCCAACACTGGAAGTTTTTAAGAAGAGACTGGACAGCCATTTGTCGGAAATGGTGTAGGGTTTCCTGCCCGAGCAGGGGGTTGGACTAGATGACCTCCAAGGTCCCTTCCAACTTTACTACTATTACTATTACTTCTCCCCACTTCTCTTCTCCTCCAACCTTGCTACTTCCTTCTCTCCTCCTTTACTCTTTTCTCTCTCCTCTCCTTTCCTCCCTCTCATCCGTCCTCAGATACAACTCAGGGGTAACGTCCGAGCAACTCCAAATTTCCCTATCTGTATTATATACAATAAGATTAATTTTCTCTTACATTAATACTTCTATTTATCTAACCTTCTCGGTATATACTTCTATAAATATTTATACAGCCTCCAGTTATTCAATACTGTATCGCCTGGGTCTCCCTCCTTATCGGGCAAGATTCTCTTCTGAGGGCGCTCCTGTATCTCCGATGCCTCCCCCTTGCCTAAATCAGCCTCATTCTCCCTCCAGTGCACCCGTGCACACACACACACACACACACACAACCTTGCCCTTTCTTCCCCCAGGAGCTGAGGTCCTTTATAGCCAGTTGATGAGTGACTTTGAGATGGACGAGAAGGATTTCGACGCGGATTCCTGGAGTCTAGCCGTGGACAACAGCTTCCTGCAGCAGCACAAGAAGGAAGTCATGAAGCGCCAAGACGTCATCTATGGTGAGCCTGAGGTCCTCCCCCCTCAACCCCCCCCCTCCCCAGCGATGGAGGCCAACCCCCCCCCTTTCCTGGGAAAGTCCAAGAGGAAGCCCTAAAGCAGGGCTTTTCAACCTTTCCACCCATTGTACCATTTTTAGGATATGGCAGTATCTGAGTACCACCTGTCGCCTAGCAAGGGGTCAAAAACTTGATGATTAAAAAAAAAAAGGAAAAAAGTGATAAAGTACGGTAGTCCTCGACTTACAACAGTTCGCTTAGTGACTGTTCGAAGTTACAATGGCACTGAAAAAAGCGCCCCCCAAGCCACAGCCGAGCAGGACACCTGCCTGCCTGCCCGGCAGTGCTCTTCCTCCTGTCCGAGGTTTTCATTGTTGTGAGCATTTCTGTTGAGGATTGGCAGCAGGGGTGGGGTGAGGGGGTGTTTGGTTTTTATTCCCCCCCCCCCGCCCCCGTCTGCTGGGTGGTTGCAGCAGGTTTTGGTCACTTCACATGACCCTGGGACACTGTGACCGTCATAAATATGAATCGGTTGCCAAGCCTCTGAATGTAAATCACAAGACCCTGGAGAGGCTGCAACATTCCCGCTGATTGGCGCTTCTTCCGGGCTCGGCAGAAGCACCAGGATCAGTGCTGAGCTCCAGCCGATTGGTGCTTCTTCTGGGCTCAGCGGAAGGGCCAGGATTAATTGTCCTCACTGTCAGGAAGTTTCTCCTTAATTCCAGGTTGTTTCTCTCTTTGGTCAGTTTCCAACCGTTGTTCCTCGTCCTGCCCCCTGGTGCAAGCAGGCTGCCTGAGCAGGGGGTTGGAATAGAAGACCTCCAAGGATCCTTTTCAATGCTGCTGCTCTGTTTTCAGGCCACACTGTTGTTCCTCAGTTGTGAGATTCTATCCTTCCCTAGGACCTCCAGCCCAGCCCAGCCGTTTGTCCCCCAGCCTAAGTTTCTTTCTCCTATCTTGTCCCTGCAGAGCTGATCCAGACAGAGCTGCATCACGTCCAGACCCTGAAGATCATGACCAACCTCTTTCGCAAGGGGATGCTGGAAGACCTGCAGATGGACGCCTCGGTGGTGCAGAGCATGTTCCCCTGCGTGGACGAGCTCAGTGAGATCCATGGCAGCTTCCTGGCCCGACTTTTGGAACGCCGGAAGGAATCTCTGGCCGACGGCAGCCCCAAGAATTTCGTAATCAACCGCCTGGGAGACATTCTGATCCAGCAGGTACGGAAGGCACCTCCTTCTCCCCAACGGCTCCGCTCTTGCCTCCTTCCCCCCCCTCCCTATTTATTTATATCCTGCCTGTGTTGTTATTTTATAAACAAGGCGGCAGACGTATCTAATACAGGTCGTCCTCGACTTATAACAGTTCATCTGAAGTTACGACGGTACCCCCAAAAAGTGACCTACGACCGTTTTTCACACTTACAAACCCTGCAGCATCCCCCGTGGTCACAGGATTAAAAATTCAGGCGCCTTGCAACTGGTTTGTATTTACGACTGTCGCAGCGTCCTGGGGGGGGTCACGTGATCCCCCTTTTGCGACCTTTTGACCAGCAAAGTCAACAGGGAAGCTGGTCGTTAACTTAACCACTATTGGCAAGAAAGGTCGTAAAATGGGGCAAAACTCAATACATGTTTCATTTAGCCACAGAACGTTTGGACTCAATTGTGGCGGTAAGTCGAGGACTACCTGTACTCCTTCCTCCTTTTGTTTTCATCACAACAACAACCCTGTGAGGGTGAGTTGGGCAGAGAGATGGTGACTGGCCCCAGGTCACCCAGCCAGGTTTCATGCCTCAGGGCAGAACTAGAACTCACCGTCTCCTGGTAATTGGCCCAAAATCACCCAGCCGGATTTCATGCCTCAGGCAGAACTAGAACTCACCACCTGGTAATTGGCCCCAAACCACCCAGCCGGGTTTCATGCCTCAGGCAGAACTAGAACTCACCGTCTCCTGGTAATTGGCCAAAATCACCCAGCCGGGTTTCATGCTTCAGGCAGAACTAGAACTCACCACTTGGTAATTGGCCCAAAACCACCCAGCCGGATTTCATGCCTCAGGCAGAACTAGAACTCACCGTCTCCTGGTAATTGGCCCAAAATCACCCGGCCGGATTTCATGTCTCAGGCAGAACTAGAACTCACCACCTGGTAATTGGCCTAAAACCACCCAGCCAGGTTTCATGCCTCAGGCAGAACTAGAACTCACCACCTGGTAATTGGCCAAAATCACCCAGCTGGGTTTCATGCCTCAGGCAGAACTAGAACTCACCGTCTCCTGCTTTCTAGTTTAGTGCCTTTATTGCTAGTCCAAGCCATCCTGCCTTCCAGTTTTCAGGCCCTACTGCCGAGCAAATGAAGAAGGCCTACTCAGAGTTCTGCAGCCATCACACCAAAGCTGTCAAGCTGTACAAAGAGCTCTTCACTCGGGACAAGCGGTTTCAGCAGTTCATCCGGGTAAGATCTTTTCCTGCTTCTCCCGGGTCCTTTCCTTCTCCTTTTCCATTGTAGTTTGTCGAAGCCTTATCGGGGCTCCACTTTAAGACCTCCTCCCAAGAAGGCACCTGGGCCCCTCGTAGTGGCAGGGCAGACCCACTATGAAGTGAAACGTATTCTTGACTCCAGAATCTTTAGCGGGAAATTACAGTACTTAGTGCAATGGAAGGGATCCCCGTTGTCTGAAGCCGCCTGGGTGAAATCTAGTGAAGTGAAAGCTGACCGATTGATCAAAAGGTTTCACGTGAAACACCCCAGCAAACCGAAAGATAACCCTTCAAGGACCACAAAGGAGAGGAAGTGCCAAAGCAGAGTGGCCAGCCCTGTCTTGAATCCATCAGCAAGCAGTGTGTGCGTGGCTCCCTACAAGTGTGGAAAGACCTAGAGCGCTCTCCGAAGGAAAGCCCTAGGCCAGTGATGGCGAACCTTTTAGAGACCGAGTGCTCAAACTGCAACCCAAAACCCACTTATGCATCGTCGGGTGCCGGGTGGGTGTGGCCCATTGGGTGGGCGTGGCTGCAGTGGTAATGGCAGACTGGGTGGGACTAAAAAGTTCAATCAATCAATTCCAACTCTTTGCAAGATCTTTTTTTTTCCCACGAGAAGTTGAAATTGATTGATTGAACCTTTTTTTTTTTTTGCACACGGCGGTGGAGGCCTAAAGCAGTGGTTCTCAACCTTTCTAATGCCACGACCCCATAATACAGTTCCCCATGTTGTGGTGACCCCCAACCACTTATACATCACTGGGTGCCAGGGGCGTGGTCAAAGAAAAGGGGGGAAAAATGGTGGACAGCCTTGTTTGGCGACCCCCGTGAAATGGTCGTTCGACCCCAAATGGGGTCCCGACCCACAGGTTGAGAACCACTGGCCTAAAGCGAAAAGGTTTTATAAAAACCCAGCTGAAGGCCTAGGACTGGGGCGACGGCGCGCATGCCCACAGAGAGGGCTCTGAGTGCCGCCTCTGGCACCCGTGCCATAGGTTTGGCACCACTGCCCTAGGACCCACTTCTAATAAACTTTAATAAACTTTAGTCCAGTTGCCATGATTTCATCTTCTGAGATACTTTTGGCCTGGATGACTGAATCTTCATTTACATGACCCACTTCTAAGTGGGATCAAGAAGAAGGCCTTCTCCAGGGCTGCTCCCTCCTAGTGGAGCATTGTCCCTACAGAAAGAAGATCTTGACGTTCTTTTGAGAGGCCCTCAAATTTTCTTTGGAGAGAAAATTTTGAGAGGCCCTCAAAAAAACGAAAGACCTTACCAGCTGATGTTTGCCCACACACACACCTGTGCACATGTACAATTTCAGACATTATGACAAACGAGGGCGCACAAAACATTTCGAATCTTTCAAGTGGGAAATAAAATTTGTGTTTTTAGAGAATAGTATTTCCAACGAACGCTCATTTTTTTTTGTTCCCACCGCAAAATAATCTTGGTCGTTTTGAGTGGCCAATCAGCCCAATTCTTCCACTGGAATTTGCTACTGTTCTGCAGTCCATTCTTTGCCTCTCGCTCGCTGTGTGACACCCCTACCCTCCCAGCAGAGGATGGAAAGTCCTGTGTTAGATTTAGCCTGCATTTTGTCCAAACCCAGCCAGGCTTATGGAATATACAGGTGGTTCGCGGCTTATGACCATTCACTGAGCAAATGTTTGAAGTTATAGCAGTGCTGAAAGAATAGTGGTTACGACTGGCCCTCGGAGCTTCCCCATCCTAGCGTTCCCGCAGTCATGTGATTGTAGTCTTTACAATTGGTTACACCCTCCATGCTTTTGTGATTGCCATTCATGACTTTTCCTGCTGGCTTCCCCAAGGAGTCAGTGGGGAAGCCAGCAGAGTCAGTCATAAAACATTGGGTCCTTCCAATGTGCATCCTTCCCCATCTCTTCTGTGCTCACACCAGCCACTTGCACACCATGCACCCTGCCTGGGCTTTGCCACACCTCCCCTATCACTCCTCTGGACACCCTCCCCACCCTCTCTGCACCTCCCTGACTCCTGCTGAGCCTCCTTCACACACTTGGGCATCCCCTCCTGCTCTCTCCTACCCTGCAGTAGCTATTTACCTGCCTGCTGGCCTGCTAGCAAATCATTTGGGACTTCCCAGTGATTTGGTTGTGGGAACCAGCAAGAAGTTTGCCTTGCCTATAACCCTGGCATTCAGTTAATGACAGCACTTGGGACTGCAGAGATTACTAAGTGGAACCATCCCACTCAGTCATCTAGCAAAGAAAGACCGCTGGCCGTTTGTTCTTGTTTACGGAAGCTTAAATGGTTACAGAAGTAGGGAAAGCTGAATCTGAGGTTTTCCCGCGCAAATAATACAACGTAAATTTACTTCTCCCACCCCCTCCCCTGCCAGCCGTCCAATCAGGTGCTTGTACATTATTTAGGAAACTGGCTCTCTTTCCCAGCTGTGTATACCCATAGCTGACCTTGGTTGGCTGAAGCTTTTCTCAAGGCTCAGCTTGGGCTTCCATCCCCTCCTTCTTCCTCTTTACAAGCCAATCCCCCCCCCCAACCCCGTTGCTAATGTCAGGCTGTCAGAATCCAATTATAGAAAACCCCATTTCTGCCTTCTCTGGATTCTGTCATACAAGGAAGGGAAGGGGGTGAACAAAGGGGTTTTGTGGCCCTCACTTCCTTCGGTACAACTTCAAAGGGATTGAATGTGGATAGCACCAAAAAGGCCTAATCATAACAAAGGGGGCTATTACCTTTCATGTAGTTTTCTCTGAAGTCTCCATCCAGCCGGCAGTAAGGAAAAAGGGGGTGGGAATGTAATGCCTGAGACTGTCGCTGGAAGTAGGGGGGATTGGGTGGGGCTACTGGGAAACCCCTTAAAACCTCGAATGGGAGAGCTTGGACCCCAAGTCCTGTCTAGAACGCCTGCAACCATTTTCTCTTAATAAAGGATGCCTGTTGGAAGAATTATTCCAAGAGTTCTGTCTTCTTAAGATGCAAAGTGGGGTGGGTCATTACATTATCAGCTCATTGAAGCTTGGCTAGGAGAGATGCAGCCGCGACAGCATCACTTAGTGGCCGAAATTCCAGTCCCACTCGAGGACTACCTGTAGTCATACCCACAACCTTTTCAGGGTTTGTGCATTTCCTCGTTTTGTAGCTATGACCGAAGCTTTGGGGTTTAGATTTGGCATGAGGTGTGTGGGTGAGGTGTGTACAGATGTGTGCTGCATATCTTGTGGATGTATTCTGAGTAATAACCCTTCCGCCCATTTCCTCAACGTTTCCAGAGATTGTCACGCTCATCGGTGCTTCGGCGGCACGGGGTGCAAGAATGCATCCTGCTCGTCACGCAGCGCATCACCAAATATCCTGGGCTCATTGATCGAATCCTGCAAAACTCCAAAGGTACCAAAGAGAGGCCTTTTAACGTGTTGTTACTTTTTTAAAAAAAAAAATACTTCCATCAACAGTTAATAGTTATGACAGCCAATTTTTCAAATTTGTACTATGGGCTGTTTCTATCGCCTAAGAAATGTATTCCTAGTACTTCCAGTATGGAGCATGTCGTTTATTTGAAAATATTTTAAGTGGCGCTCAATTTATGTCCATGTGTAAAATGGAAGTCTAACTGAAAACAGCTAGATCTTTTGCTCCTGCTTCACTGAATTTTCTTAGCTGTGATTGTGTCTCAGTTAATGCTCTGGATGCAGAGTCCCATGCTGATTGCTTAGCAAAATATCTGAAAGCTTTGACCTGTTTTTATAACCAGATCTGTCTTTCTAAACCAGCAACACCAATGGTTTTTGCCTTGATTAAGAAGGCGAATGTGAAGCTTTGTCTCTGGAGACAGTTATCAGTTTTGCTTTTTTTAACCATGGCTTATGAATTATTTCTAAATTGAAAATACCCGTTCTGTGGACGCTCAGAAAAATATAAACACAGTGCCCCGTGCTCAGAAAAATATAAATAGTAAAACACAGCACAGCTGGCTCAGGAATTCTGGGAGTTGAAGTCCACGAGTCCACGAGTCATAAAAGAGCCAAGGGTGAAGACCAAAACTTTAAATCCCAGAACAGAACAAAACAAAAACATACGTCCAGCACTAACAACAAAAAAGAAAAATGTGTCTAAAAAAGAGAAAAAGGTGATCCAATTACCAAATAAATTTTAACATTTAATAAGGTCCCTTCCAGCTCTATTCTGATTGATATAGAATCCACCCCGGCTGGTTGCCGAAAAACTGATCAAAGCAGTTAATTTTGCCATCTCGGCTAATTCAGCCAATTTCAAAATCTATTCTTCCACATTTGGCATCCCTTTCTCTTTCTAGTGCTTGGCAAGTACAATCCTTGCACCCGTCACCATGTGAAGGAATAGCACCCCATGTTGTTTTTCAGTTGGCTTGTCCATCATACCTAAAAGAAAAGCTTCTTCTTGTGCCATATCCGTTATCGGACGTTGGCAACCATGTTGGCGATCCTGTTTTTATCAGCAGCCGCGCGAAAAAGTGCTGCTAAATTTTGTCCAAACCAGTCCCTTAGATTTTGAAGCCACAATGTTCTTCTTCTGCCTGGACCTCGTTTGCCTTCCATCTTTCCCTGGAGGATTACAGGGAGTATGCCGTATTTTTCTGGGTGTTGCATCACGTGTCCGAAATATTCTAATTTTTGTTTTTTAATTGTTTTGATGATTTCCCTGGGCTTTCCCAGGCGGCTTATCACCACCTCATTTCTGATCTTGTCAACCCAGCTTCTACGTAACAGCCACTTGTAAATCCACATTTCAAATGCTTCCAGTCTCTTCAGCTAGCCTTCTGTCAAGAGACCAACTCTCTACTCCATAGAGCAGGGTAGAAAAAAATACAGCATCTGACAAGCTTGATTTTCAGTCTTAAGCTTATGTCGTGACGGCAGAAAAAAAAAAAAGCTTCAGGTTTCCTTAATATTTGTATCTTAAATATGTTCTGCCTTGCTGTTGTTATGTTTGTCCAGTATGTTTTCACATATTTGCAAGACCACCACACATGATAAAATGAACCTGGAGTTTAGGAATTTTCCAGTCTTATTTCTAGCGAGTTCACTAAAGGGGATCCTCTCGGAGTGCTTTGAAACCCGTGTTTCTGCCCTCCTGGGCTGAGCATTTGCCCTTTCTTTCTGGGTGGTTTTCTTTCCTCTCCCTTCCGTTCCTTTCCCAAACTCTCAGTGAATCTGCTAATGTTTTATTTTCCCCCCACACTCCCCCCCCCCAGGGAATGAAGTGGATCAGAAAGATCTGAAAACAGCCTTGACTCTGGTCAAAGAACTGCTCTCGACCATTGACCAGGAAGTGCACAATCAGGAGAAGAACGCGCGGCTGCAGGAAATCTACGGCCGGGTGGATGGGCGGACCAAGGCCCACCTGCCCTGGGAGCGGGGGCCCTTCAGCAAGGAGGAGATGCTGCGGCGCAAGCTGGTCCACGACGGCTGCATGCTCTGGAAAACCCCCGCAGGGCGCTTCAAAGGTGGGACCATTGGCAGAAAAGGCCCCATCCCTGCCGTGGTTTAGCTTCCGAACGAAGGGGAGCCGGGTTCTGCAAAATGATCCATATAGATAGTCCTCAACTTACGGCCACAACTGAGCCCAAAATTTCTGTGGTTCAGTGAGACATTTGTTAAGTGAGTTTTGCCCTATTTTATGGTCCTTCTTTCCACGGTTGTTAAGCGAATCACAGCAGTTGATAAGTTAATAATCCGGTTGTTAAGTGAATCTGACTTCCCTGTGGACGAGGACCACATGACCCCAGGACACTGCAACCGTCATACATATAAGTCAGTTGGCAAGCATCTGAATTTTGATCACATGACCATGGGGGTGGTGCAAAGGTCATAACTCTGAAAAACAGCCCTAAGTCACATTTTTCAGTGCCGTTGTTAACTCTGAAGGGTCACTAAGCAAACTGTTGTAAGTTGAGGACAACCTGTGGTCATTCTTGCAAGTCTAAGGCCTTCTTTCCGGACCAGACAATATTTTGGATTGGAGTCTGTAGTACTGTCGCATGCTGCAAGACTTTTTCCCCCCCGTACTTAGGGTGAAACCTGGAATAATCATTGCCACTGTTATTTAGTTCTTTGTGTGTCGTTATATTTCTACTCTATCTTTTATTTATACAACTCAAGGTGATGTGTAGAATACACAGTAAAACAGAATTCCCCAACTTTTCTGGCTTTGCAGACCAGCGGGGGGAAGAGAGAGAAATAGATAGATAACCTTTATTGTCATTTTTTTTTTACTGTGGGTACAATGGTACACATTAAAAATGAAATTGAGCTGCTTGCTCTCAACGTGTACACATACATAGAACACATTTAAACATACTATATACAACATACGTATAGACCAGTGGTTCTCAACCTTTTTAATGCCGCGACCCCCCCAACCGGTCGTAAGTCGGGGACTACTCAACCGGTCGTAAGTCGAGGACTACTCAACTGGTGCAGCACCGTTTGCAGAATGGGACTTTTGGCGGGCTCAGCAGGGCAGAGACAGCCTGGACAATTCCTATTGGCTTTGGAAAGCCAATAGAATTAGACTCTATTCAAGAGAGTCTATTCTATTGGCTTTCAAAAGCCAATAAAATAAAAGGGAGGAGCACAGCTAAGGAAAAGGGGGGGGGAAAATGGCGGACTGCGTTGTTTGGCGACCCCCGTGAAATGGTCGTTCGACCCCAAATGGGGTCCCGACCCACAGGTGGAGAACCACTGGTATAGACCTACACCCTTACATATAAGTAGCATATAAATATTAATCACTGTCCAGAGAGGGGATGTTTCTGTTTGAGTGGCAGGCAAGCGCGCGCAGCTCCATGTGCTCAAGCAGCGGGCACGTGCGCCCGCCGCTCATACAAATGGAGTGCACATGCACGCACTTGTCCGCTGCTCGCACAACCTGGGAATGAGCATGCACATTCTCCTGCCACTTCCGCAGCCCAGTTCCCAACCGCTCAAGGTTCTGTAGTGGGCTGTAGCCCAGGGATTGGGGACCCCTGCCGTAAATTCTTTCGCTCCCCATAGTCCCTTGTCCCTCTCTCTCTTTCAGATGTCTTGGTGGTTCTGATGACAGACGTTCTCATCTTCCTACAGGAGAAGGACCAAAAGTACATTTTTCCCACCCTGGTAAGTGCCCTTTTATTTTTCTGTCACCTTTTCCCGTGACGAGATACCCAAGTCTCAAACAGAGCGCCTGTTGGCACAGAACGCCCAGGGCCATTTTGGACCCCTTACAGGCAGATGGGCCCAGGAATAGATCTTGTCGGAACTGGGATTGTCTTGGCTGCCAAGGGTTTCAAACATCCTTAGTCTCATCTTGCCTGATGGGAAGATGCTGATCAGATTCAGTGAGTTTTGGGTGGGAAACCACCAGGAAATCACAGGGCTATAGACAACCCTGGAAAAGAAGGACCTTCATACGGTTGCAAATTAAACAATGGTTTGGGGATGTTGCATTTCAAGGCTCCCTGATCCACGATAAATGCTACTTTGGAAAAAGGGTGATGAATGGATGCCTCCCGGAGTTGTGGGGACTCCAACGCTGGAGATTTTGAAGAAAAGATTGGACAACTATTTAATAATAATAATAATAATAATAATAATAATAATAATAATAATAATAATAATAATAATAAAGTTGGAAGGGACCTTGCAGGTCATCTAGTCCAACCCCCTGCTCAGGCAGGAAACCCTATACCATTTCAGACAAATGGCTGTCCAGTCTCTTCTTAAAAACTTCCAGTGTTGGAGCATTTACTGCTTCTGGAGGCAGGTTGTTCCACTGATTAATTGTTCTCACTGTCAGGAAGTTTCTCCTTAGTTCTAGCTTGCTTCTCTCCTTGATCAGTTTCCATCCGTTGCTTCTCGTCCTGCCTTCAGGCGCCTTGGAGAATAGCTTGACTCTGATATATCAATCATAGTTACAAGACTGGAAGAGCCTTGATGGCGCAGTGGTTAGAATGCAGCATTGCAGGCTGACTCTGCCCACTGCCAGCAGTTTGATCCTGGCTGGCTCCAGGTTGACTCAGCCTTCCGTCCTTCTGAGGTCGGTAAAATGGGGACCTGGATAGTTGGGGGCAAGAGGCTGACTCTGTAAACCGTTTAGAAAGGGCTGTAAAGCGCTATGAAGCAGGGTGTGTGTGTGTGTGTGTGTATACATATGTATGTATGTATATATGTATGTATATATGTGCTGTTGCTATTGCTATTTTGCAGGCTTGTGATAAAGCTTTGCTTCAACAAGGCTCTATTAAATCTTCTCCTTAGTTCTAGGTTGCTTCTCTCCTTGCTTAGTCCAGGATGGTATAAGGTCTCCTGCCCCAGGGCGGAGGGTTGGAATAGAAGACCTCCAAGGTCCCTTCCTACGTACCCCAGGGCGGAGGGTTGGAATAGAAGACCTCCAAGGTCCCTTCCTACGTATGAGGGGAAAGTCTGAACATGCTTCTTTCCTTTCAGGACAAGCCAACAGTCATTTCCATCCAGAACCTGATTGTCCGTGACATTGCGAATCAGGAGAAGGGCATGTTCCTGATCAGCAGCACCCCGCCTGAGATGTATGAGGTTCACGCTGCATCGCGTGATGACCGCAACACCTGGATGAAGGTCATCCAGCAGAGTGTCAAGCTGTGAGTGGGGTGGGGGGCCAGCTTCCCTCCCATCCTTCCATAGGTCTGGCAATGGGACAGGCATCCAGATCTTCCCCTCTTGCAAGGCAAGGAGCTGAGGCCACCTCCAATGCCTGATGGGGGTTTGCTAAAGAACTAGTGTGAGCCATAACATGCTCTAGTCGATGTTGGCTTGCGATATGATGTGAACCAAGCCAGTTGTGGCTTACAAAGCATGGTGTACAGCATATCACTCTGCGAATTTGGTCACGGTGATGTCCAGTCTACGATGAGACTGCACTAGCTGAAATGGCTAAATTGACTTGTTTGATTAGAGAAAAGACAATATCTACATTTATTGGACATCCCTGGTGGACTCTTTGCATAAAAAAAGAAAAAGGAACATGGTTTATGGCAGGGGTAGGCAACCTTGGCTCTTTTATGGCTCGTGGACTTCAACTCCCAGAATTCCTCAGCCAGCATGGCTCAGCTTGGAAACATTTCCCTTTCCCCTCAGCATGGCTGGCTCAGGAATTCTGGGAGTTGAAGTCCACGCGTCATAAAAGAGCCAAGGTTGCCTACCCCTGGTTTATGGGTTGGATGATTAGACCGGAGAGCTTATAAAAAGAAGAGAGTTGTGATGCAGCTTTAGAAATAGAGGTTAAAATATAATTGTACTTATAACTCCTGAAGAAGACCAGAAGTCATTTCTTAATATCGTTATATCTTGTTTTCCTAGTTTTCCTCTACTTTTTTTCATTTTGCACTTTTTCTTTTATTCCTCCCTTTCCTTTCCTTTTTTTGTTTTACTTTAGCTTGTATTTTTACCATACTATAACTGCCATAACTTGGCTGTAAGGAGCAGCATATAATTTTTCAAAATCATTAAGTCAGCCCATTTATATTTCTTGTGCCATATCCATTATCGGACGTTGGCGATCATGTTGTCGATCCTGTTTTTATCAGCAGCCGCATGAAAAAGTGCTGCTGAGTTTTGTCCAAACCAGTCCCTTAGATTTTGAAGCCATGATGTTCTTCTTCTGCCTGGACCTTGTTTGCCTTCCATCTTTCCCTGGAGGATGAAATGGAGCATGCTGTATTTTTCTGGGTGTCGCATCGCATGTCCGAAATATTCTAATTTTTGTTTTTTAATTGTTTTGATGATTTCCCTTGGCTTTCCCAGGCAGCTGATCCCCTCCTTATTTCTGATCTTGTCAACCCAGCTTCTACGTAACAGCCGCTTGTAAATCCACATTTCAAATGCTTCTAGTCTCTTCAGTGGCCTTCTGTCAAAGACCAATTCTCTACTCCATAGAGCAGGATAGAAAAAAATATAGCATCTGAGAAGCCTGATTTTCAGTCTTAGGCTTATGTCGTGACTGCAGAAGACCTTTTTCATTTTGAAGAATGCTGTTCGAGCTTTCTCTATCCTTGTCTTTACTTCTGTGCGCATTTATACAAATAGGTGGAATCCACTTATTTGATTGGAATGGCCCCAGATGGGGAATCCCAAGTCCTCTTAAGATTTGTAGTCCTTTTCAGTGATCATGACTTTAAATCATCACAGCCTTTGGGGCCGTTTTTTCATTTATTTATTTAAAGACAGCAAGAGTGGAGGGAGACTAAAACAGGACTTTCCCAAAAATAAGGAATGAGCTGGAGTTAGTAGTAAAAGGGCCACAGGATTACCTTCTCCTTTAACGTCCAGAGAAGGCAGAGCTTGGCTGAAATGGCCAGATGGCTGATTCAGTTGCCCCAGAAGTTGGTGGAAAGAACTCTAAATGGGATGTTATGGTTCCGGTTAATGAAACACTTCAAAGAACTTCCAGGCATTTATTTTCCTAAAAGTCATTTATTGTTACAAAATGTCGGCGCAGGCATAACCAGTTGCCCCAGAAGTTGGTGGAAAGAACTCTAAATGGGATGTTATGGTTCCGGCTAATGAAACACTTCAAAGAACTTCCAGGCATTTATTTTCCTAAAAGTCATTTATTGTTACAAAATGTCGGCGCAGGCATAACGGAGGCTTTTTATGCTAAGATCTAAGTTCTCTTCCTCTGAGCAGTTAATTTATTAGTATGTTCCCTTCCTAAATTAGCTGTCATATATCACATTATCCAATTAGTGTGAAGGTCAAAGGTTTCCTTCCTCTTTCTCTCCCGGGTTTTACCCCCATCCCCCCTTCTGCTCTGTATTAACCCCCAAAATACCAGACAGTTCTGCATATTGTCAAAGCAAGAATATACAGTATTTGCAGCGTTGACATGGGAATTAATTTATGGCAAAGGTGCTTCTACACAGCACCCCCTCGCCCCAAACTGCCAGAATCACAGGCTGCCCAAGAATTCTTGGCCCAAAGGGTTAACCTGACCTTTCTGTTTGCTTCTCCACTGCAGCTGCCCTCACCGGGCTGAATTCCCTCTCATTGAGACCGAGAGTGAAGCCTCTCTCAGGAAGCTGAAGGGTAAGGTCCACCTCATTCCCAGCTTCCCTCCTGCGCCTTCCCCTGGCACCCAACATCACTTCCTTCCTTCCTTCCCGTAGACAAGATTCAGCAGTGTGACCAGGAGATTGGGGTGCTTCTCAAGGAGAAAGCAGAACTCTTTGCAGACCTTGTGGCTCTCCAGAGCGGCAGGGAAGATGGCCCCCTGCCCTGGGGGAACCCCCGCACTCTCTTCCGCACCGAGTCATCGGACCCCCCGCATGGAGAGAAGCTGGTCCAGGAGGCCATCAGAGAAGGTATCGTTCTCCCCACGGCACACCACTGCAAGGAGGAGGCCTTAGTTAATCTTATATAAATAAAAATGTAAATGCTCGTTTGTTCAAAATCTTAAATCTCTGAAAGTTCTGCAAAGAGCGCCATCTGTTGGATGTAAAAGCAACACACGCTGCATTGTGAAATTAAACACAATCTTACAAATGTGCGCTTTCTCTTTTTTTTCTTTTCCATTTAACTAGACAGAGCCACAGCAACACGTGGCCGAGTACAGCTAGTAATAATAATAATAATAATAATAACAACCTTATTGTCACTTTCAAAGTACACCAATCGGCATACATCAAAATGAAATTAATTCTTGAAGAAACTAAGGGGGTCTAGATCAGGAGGGCTACAGAGACTTACTGATCCTTTCAATTGATATTCCCGTTGGGAATGTTGTCGATAACCATGTATTATCACAGAGCAAGAATATCTGTTTGTTAAACACATGTTTGTGTATTTGTGTGTGTCTTTTCTGTCTCTCTTCACCAACACATACATCCGCAGTGGAAGTCTTGAAAGATCTCGTCGTGGGATCCAGCTGGGACCTAGAGCAGAACCACACACAGATGCCCAGCAGCTGCTCCAGCCCAAACCCCAGTAACGCCACCAGTAAGAAGCCCCCTTTTCTCCTACAATTTCCTCAGCTTACAGCTTCCTCCTAGGCCAGCTTACGGGGCCAGAGCGCCACAACCAACTCGGCCCAGGACAATTCACCCCAGCCAACTTGCCGCGGGACAAAATTTACCGGGGGGGGGGGGGAAGATTCATTAAAGAAAGGATCTCCAAAAAAGGGGGGGGGCGAAATGAAATGTGAGTGATAAAAATTACAATATTTTTTAAAAATTATTTTTAAATAATTAAATGAAATTGTTGAATTTCTCCACGGCAAGTTTCTCCTGCAGCGAATTGCCCCGTGGCAAATGGGCAGCAGTGAGTTGGCCGTGGCGAGTGGTCTCATTCCGTTCCCCTTTGGTCTCCTCACCCCGAGACTCCCCAACAGAATGAAGGTCCCTCAAAGTTCACTGTAGGCTACTGGTACACACCGGTAATACTGTGGTCAGAGGCTTTGTGCTAGGCCAGGGGCAGGCAACCTTGGCTCTTTTATCATTTGTGGACTTCAACTTCCAAAATTCTGGGAGTTGAAGTCCACAAGTCATGAAGGGGTCAAAGTTTCCCTCATGCTGGCTCAGGAATTCTGGGAGTTGAAGTCCACGAGTCATGAAGGGGCCAAAGTTTCCCTCATGCTGGCTCAGGAATTCTGGGAGTTGAAGTCCACGAGTCATGAAGGGGCCAAAGTTTCCCTCATGCTGGCTCAGGAATTCTGGGAGTTGAAGTCCACGAGTCATGAGGGGGCCAAAGTTTCCCTCATGCTGGCTCAGGAATTCTGGGAGTTGAAGTCCATGAGTCATGAAGGGGCCAAAGTTTCCCTCATGCTGGCTCAGGAATTCTGGGAGTTGAAGTCCACGAGTCATTAAGGGGCCAAAGTTTCCCTCATGCTGGCTCAGGAATTCTGGGAGTTGAAGTCCACGAGTCATGAAGGGGCCAGTGTTTCCCTCATGCTGGCTCAGGAATTCTGGGAGTTGAAGTCCATGAGTCATGAAGGGGCCAAAGTTTCCCTCATGCTGGCTCAGGAATTCTGGGAGTTGAAGTCCACGAGTCATGAAAGGGCCAGTGTTTCCCTCATGCTGGCTCAGGAATTCTGGGAGTTGAAGTCCACGAGTCATTAAGGGGCCAAAGTTTCCCTCATGCTGGCTCAGGAATTCTGGGAGTTGAAGTCCACGAGTCATGAAGGGGCCAGTGTTTCCCTCATGCTGGCTCAGGAATTCTGGGAGTTGAAGTCCACGAGTCATGAAGGGGCCAAAGTTTCCCTCATGCTGACTCAGGAATTCTGGGAGTTGAAGTCCACGAGTCATGAAGGGGCTAATGTTTCCCTCATGCTGGCTCAGGAATTCTGGGAGTTGAAGTCCACGAGTCATGAAGGGGCCAAAGTTTCCCTCATGCTGGCTCAGGAATTTTGGGAGTTGAAGTCCACGAGTCATAAAAGAGCCAAGGTGGCCTACCCCTGTGCTAGGCGGCAACTCAGACACTTGGGTTAGTTCTCTGAACTGTGGCTCAGATAACCGTGTTGCTAGAAGTCTTGGGCAAATGACTTTCCTGATTTATTTTCCTTTCTGAGGACGGGTGTGATGGTGGATGGCAGGAGAGGACAACATTGAAATGAAACGGAACATTCTGGGGAAGATTTCTCTCTTTGTCGCTCTTCATTTTAGTGCTCAGATCACGGTTTGAGATATTTTGCATTCACTTTCTGGAGCTAAAAACCTCTCCCGCTCTCTTCCTACAGACGGGGAGACTGGAAGTACGAACGACGCTCTCGAGTTTGCCCGGGTTGAGGCGGATTCAAACCATCGGGTGAGCTTTGGGGAGCAGCTTCCCCTGTTTCGGTGCCGCAGCCCGGCTTGGCAACTGCCTTCTCTGGGGGGGGCTGCTGGGTCTGCTGCCCAGAGCCACTTTGCGGAGGGACGGAACCTCCCACTGGCCACGCTTTATCAGCCACGGTGCCTGGGCTTTTCAAGCTTTCTGCAAGAAGGATAATTTTTTTAAAAAAATCACAGGGAAACTGATTTTTTTTAAATTAATTGTTTTTTTTTGCCCAAGGAGGCTGATGGAAATCTCCACCTCTTGAAATTCAGTTTGGGTCCAGGGTAGTTGGGGGAAAAAAGGCTTATTGCTAGGAAAATTGGGGGCTTCTGCTAAAGACCACGGTTCTCGTGCAAAACTGAGACGTTCAAGCTGCAGCCGGTCCTGAGCTTCCAGGCAAGCTTTGGCCTGACTGGGATGACTGGGAAATTGGGGGAGGGGGCGGGGGTCCTGCAGGAGGGAGGACTGGTCCTTGGGCCCATCGGGAACTGGAGATCCACACTCTTCCGGGGGGAGGGGGGGAGAAGGGATCTTGGCCGCCCTTCTGCTTTGAGCTGGCCCAGATTCAGATCCCCGTGCTGAGCTTTCGGCCGGTTTTGGCATTGCGGCCCCTGATGTGGGTGATGCCTTCCTCCCTTAGGATGGAAATGGCAACCAGTTGCAGCCCAAAGGAGTGCAGGAGGTGAGTCGGAAGCGTGCCGAGAGAGAAGCAGGGATGGTGTGTGGTGCGCTTGCTCTGGCTGGGGTGGGTGCAGGACGGAGCTTGGCCTGGCCAGGCTGAACGCAGCCTCCTCTCCCCAATCTCCAGGAGATGCTCCAGCGCCTCAAGAGTCTGTATTCTCTACTCCATGGACTGCAGGTGAGACCCTCCAGGACAGGGTTTTATTAAACTTAACGTTAGTAATTAATGGGACGCCGTTAATTTATTTATTTATTTATTTATGAGACTTGTATATACCGCTTTAAGTGCAAGCACTCTCTAAGTGGTGCACACCAGTAAGCAATGTGTGTGTGTATGTATATGTATATGTATATGTGGTGCACACCAGTAAGCAATGTGTGTGTGTATGTATATGTATATGTATATGTGTATGTATGTATATATATATATGTATGTATATATATATATATATATATATATATATATATATATATATATATATATATATATATATATATATATATTACATTGCCCCCAACCATCTGGGTCCTCATTTGACCTACCCCGGAAGGATGGAAGGCTGAGTCAACCTTGAGCCGGTGAGATTTGAACTGCTGACTTGCTGAACACGGTCAGCTAAAGTGGCCTGCAGTACTGCACCCTAACTGCTGCGCCACCTCGGCTCATGAGATGAGCCGAGTTAAGATGATAACCCTATCAAAAGCCGCCCCCTGGGCTGACCCGGGGCCCACGGCTCTGCCCTGGTGTTCATGCCAAATGGAGCGGCATGTCGTGGCTGCCTCTCTCTACCCAAGCTTCATGAGCTGACAGCCTGACATTAGTAACGGGGGTGAGTGGGGGGAGGTTGGACCGCAAGGGGAGGATGGAAGCCCAGCTGAGCCAAGGTCAGCCATCCATAGGCAGAGCTGGGCACCTAAAGCAGCCGATTGGACCTTGGCAGATAAACCAGATTGCCTGCCTGCTGCCCTCTGCCTCTTTCTCCCTCAGGGCATCGTGGCGCATCAGGACTCCCTCCTGGCCTTCCAGGCGCCCGAGGCCGTGGAACGCCAGCGCGAACGGCTGAGCCGCAGCAACTCCTGCAAGGAGGCCCCCCCGGCCGACCAGCACAGCACGGAGCTCGCCCTCTTGCAGAAGCAGCACGCTCTCTTGCAGCAGGAGCTGAACCGCTGCCGGCAGCTGGGCCAGGAGAAGGCCCAGGAGGTGGCTAGTCTGGAGGCCCGGCTGCGGGAGAGCGAGGGCGAGAGGCAGCGGCTGGAGCGAGAGGCGGACGAGGCCCGGAGGCAGCTGGCCGCGCCCCGGGTGCCCCTGGAAGCCGTCTGGGTCCGGAAGGCGGCTGAGCCCCGGAGGCGCAGTTTGCCTGCCGGAGATGCTTTGTACCAAAGCTTCAACCCTCCTCCAGTGAGTGCCTCCACATGGGCGCCAAGGGCTTCCTCCCGTCCAAGGGACTGGTGGGTGTGGGGGGGGCTCCTGGCGGTATCTGGTCTTTTTCAGCTCTCCCAGGGGTTTCCAAGGGCTAGCCAGGGAACTGTGATCTGCTACGAACTGCACTTTAGCCGGATCCCCCCAATGCGGGCTCTGCCCTGTGATGGTGGTGCTCATTAATTTATCGCGTCTCCATTCTTTTTCCCAGATTCTTCTTAGATCTGGCTGCAAAAAAGAGACCTCACTTGAAATGTCAAGGCAGCTAGAAGTGTGAAAGGTGGGAGGGGGAAGAAGGCTGCTCAGCTCTGCAGCTCTGCGGGCCACAAGTCAACCTGGCTCGCAGCAAACTCTGGGCCGAGCGGTCAAGAGCTGCAGGATCCCCCTGGGGCCGAAGGGCAGCATTGCCTGCGGGCAGGAGAGGCCCGTGCCGTCACCTTGCAGCCTCCCAGGCCAAGGAACAGGGGTAGGCAACCATGGCTCTTTTATGAATTGCAGACTTCAACTCCCAGAATTCCTGAGCCAGCCACGCTGAGGAGAAATGGAGAGGTTTCCAAGCTGAGCCATGCTGGCTCAGGAATTCTGGGAGTTGAAGTCCATAAGTCATGAAGGAGCCATAGTTCCCGCATGCTGGCTCAGGAATTCTGGGAGTTGAAGTCCACAAGTCATAAAAGAGCCAAGGTTGTCTACTCCTGCGTGTGGGGCTTTGGGGGAAGCATTCGCTCAATAGTTGACACCCTGGAGCTTCAGTCCATGCAAGGGAAGAGTCTGGTTAAGAGAAAAGAAGGGCTAAGAGTGACATGATCACAGTATTCCAGTATTTGAGGGGCTGCCACAAAAAAAGGGGGGGGGGTCAACCTATTCTCCAAAGCACCAGAAGGCAGGACAAGAAGCAATATATGGAAACTATTCAAGGAGAGAAGCAACCTGGAATGAAGGAGACATTTCCTTAAACAATGAGGACAATTAGCCAGTGGAACTACCTGCCTCCAGAAGTTGTGGGTGCCCCATCACTGGAGGTTTTGAAGAAGAGACTGGACAGCCACTTGTCAGAAATTGTATAGGGCAGGGGTAGGCAACCTTGGTTCTTTTATGACTCGTGGACTTAAACTCCCAGAATTCCTGAGCCAGCATGAGGGAAACTTTGGCCCCTTCATGATTCGTGGACTTCAACTCCCAGAATTCCTGAGCCAGCCTGGCTCAGCTTGGAAACCTCTCCCTTTCCCCTCAGCGTGGCTGGCTCAGGAATTCTGGGAGTTGAAGTCCACGAGTCATAAAAGAGCCAAGGTGGCCTAGCCCTGGCCTAGGGTCTCTTGCTTGAGTTGGGGGTTGGGCTAGAAGACCTCCAAGGTCCCTGCCGGCTCTGTTCTGATTGAGGGAAGCTTTTGAAGGCCCTTCAGCCAGATGCTCCTTCTCTGATGCAGTTTTAGCATTTTAGCAACTGAACCTCTTCCTTGGGGAGGGGCTTAACTCCGGCTCTTCTTGCTACTTTTCTTCTCAGCAGCAGAACCGAGGGGGGGAGCCCCTCTCGCCCGGCTGCCATTCCCTGCACCGGACCTTCTCCAGTGGCCAGCGGGAGGAAGCGTCCTTCCCGGGCGTCCCTGCTCGACTGCAGGAGGAGGCAGAGGAGCATCTGCAGGTGCTGATGGAGGAGGAGGGCCTGGGCAACTCCCGCTCTCCCCCATCCAGCCCCAGAGGTGAGTTGGAGCTCCCACCATGAGGAGAGCCAGGCCAGCCGCCCTCTTTCCCGGCCAGGCGCAGCCAGCTGCAGGTGGCCCTCGACTTACAACGGCTCATTCAGTGACAACGGTACCGCAAAAGAAGTCCCTTGAGACCGTTGCGAGCATCCCTTTATGGTCCTGTGATCAAAATTCGGATGCTTGGCAACCGGTTTGTACTTAACGACGGTCGCAGTGTCCATGGGATCCCCTTTGGCGGCCTTCTGAGGGTCAATGGGGAAGGCAGATTCAGTGATCAGCCGTTCCCAAATGCAATGATTCCCTTAAGAACTGCGGCAAGAGAGATCGTAAAGTGGGGCAAACTCACTTAACAAACGTTTCACTTAGCAACCTACATTTGGGGCTCAGTTGTGGCTGCAGCTGGAGGACTTCCCCGTATCAATAGGCTCTGCTGCTGGCACAAGCAGAGAAGTGCCAGGGGGGCAGCCAGGTGCCCCTTAGCCCCCTTAGCCAGGCCCTTGGAGCCTTGCCCTCCCGCCCCTCCCCACCACCCAGGTGAGTCCAGCTGTGCTACAGCAAGGGGAGGAGAGGGGCTTTGGGTGGTGAGAGGGGTGGTTTATACATTTCATGAATGCATAAAGGGATGTTCCACCTTCTGCACGCGGCTCCGTGAAGGCGGCGCGTCCCCCATCCAGGAATGCCTCTCGCTGATTTTCAGATTTCCAAAGGATGCAGGACATTCCGGAAGAGGTGGAGAGCATCCAGGAATCCAACGCTGGTGACGGAGACCTCCTGGGCAGTTAGATGGTGCCAAGGGGGGGAGCTGCCTCCCAGAGCCACTGAGGACCACGGGCTCCCCTGCCGGTTCCCCCCCCCTCCCCTTGCCCCTTTTTTTCCATCAAAGTCACACCAGGGTGTTTCAGGGACTTGAAAGACCGCCCCATGTGAACTTTGGGGAGGGGGACGGTAGAGGAAAAGCAGGCCCCAAGAGTGGGTGAAGGGCAGTCCGTTGCGTTGCCCATCCCCAGGGACCCTCGCTATGGATGGCTGTTGACAAACGGTCACGGATGCACAAAGGGGTAGTAGGAACCTTCCTTTCTCTCACTCCTGTTGATGGGTTCAGGCGGGGGTCTCTGGGGACCACAAAGGCCGCCGGACCTGGCGCGCTCGGCTGATTCGGACCCTCACCACTCCTACTGTACTTCCTGAAGTTTATTTTTTTTTTATTTATTTTGGAAACGGGTGGAAGCTGGCCCATCCCGATGGAAGATGAGTTTTAAATTATTGTTGTTCTTTTTAAGTTGTTTCTGCTTTTGTTTAAAATTTTTCAGGGGTCTCTATGAACATTCAGGGCAGAAAAGTAGTGAGATTTCTGGTCAGCCCCTCTACCTTAAAAGAGCAAAGAGAAAGTCAACCAAGGGGATTCTTACATTAGGTGCAACTCGGTCAATTTGGTGCTCCGGACTCGTTTTTCAGCTTCACAAGCTGCTCTCCTGCTAATCAGGTTTGTTTAGTTGAGGGAGCTTTTCCTTTTTGAAATCCAGCATTTCCCTTGAAAAGAGGAGTTTTGACTGACTTCTTGCTCTCCCCCAAGAGAGAAATTTGTTACCAAACATCAAACTCTTGACTTGTTGCCCACGGCTTAAAGGACATCTAACTCGTTCGGCTTTAAGGGAACGGCCTGCATTTTGAATCTCTAAACTTACTATATCGGTTTGGGGAAAATAGATCCCAGAGAGATTTGGGGTCTATAGAAATGCAGATGTTCCACAAATGAGTACTTAATGCCTGTGTGGAAAGGATGTCATAAATATGACCGGTTAAAAATAAAAAAACGGGATATTTTTTTGCAACCTAAATTGCAGTGAAGCCGTTCCTTCCTTCCACAATTTAGATTGTGCTATGAAAATTCAGAGTTTTTTTTTATTATTTGGGGTGGGGGGGGATTAGGAGGAAAGGCACAATTTTGGGGATTTTTTAACCACGTTTTTTAACCAAAGCTCAGTGGGTTTTTTTTTTTTCATTAAAAATACATATCAGGGAAAACATCAGGGATTAGAAATTTGAGTTTGAAATTGGCCGGAATTCTAGCTTGATTGGAAATAAAATTAGATGTGATTTTTTTTTTTTTTACACATTGCCATTGACACAACTTGCACACCCGCTGAGCTTATGGCCCGAAACAAATGGAGGAAAAGGGAGGCCATTTTCTCAAAACGTTGGTTTTGATCACTCCTTGAGACACTCATCCCGAGAACAAGTTCCCCCATCGGAAGAAATGAAAAAAAAAAAAGCACAAGAAGCAATTGTGCAAATTGCAAATGGGGTCTCTCTCCTCCTTGTGCAATTAAAAAAACAAAATCGCCACTTCTCTTTAAGCTGCTATTCTGGTCGATTCCATCCCAATTTCTACGAAGAATAAATGTGTGAAAAGGAAGAGCCCCCAACATCCTCCACCTTTCTCTACGGAACCGCCCTCCGATCTATATTTTCTCTCGCTTCAGCCGTTTTTAAAATTCCTTTTCAGCCCTTAAAAGGAGATTTTTCTTTTACCGATTTAAAAAAAAAACAAACCCAACCTCCTGCTATTCTGACCAGTAACACCGCTTAACAGAAAAGGTTAAAAAAGAAAGAATGTGCCACGAAGGACTTTTTTTTTAAAAAAAAGAAAAACAACACAGGAGAGTGATTTTTTTTAAATAAATGTATATGAAGATCAAAAAAAAATGGTTTATTGTTTTCCTGTTGATTTAACTTGTAAAAGAAAAAAAATGGACCAGAAAAGTTTAATTAAAGATATGAAAAGCAAGAATGTGTGTCCACTTTGCTGGGGGAGGGGAGGTGCGGAGCGTTGGGTTGACCCCTCCCCCCCAAAGGATGAGGTAGAGCTTCAATCAATCAGTCAATTTCAACTTCTCGCGGGAAAAAAAAAAGATCTTGCAAAGTTGGAATTGATTGATTGAACTTTTTAGTCCCACCCAGCCTGCCGTTACCACTGCAGCCACACCCACTTAATGGGCCACGCCCACCCAATGGGCCACACCCAGCCAATGGGCCTCACCCATCCGGCACCCAACGATGCATAAGTGGGTTTTGGGTTGCAGTTTGGGCACTCGGTCTCTAAAAGGTTCGCCATCACTGGCCTAGAGCAGTGGTGGCCAACCCATGGCACGGGTGCCAAAGGCGGCACTCAGAGCCCTCTCTGTGGGCACGTGCGCCGTCGCCCCAGTCCTAGGCCTTCAGCTGGGTTTTATAAAGCCTTTTTGCTTTAGGCCTTCGCCGCCATGTACAAAAAAAAAAAAAAGGTTCAATCAATCAGTCAATTTCAACTTCTCGCGGGAAAAAAAGATCTGGCAAAGTTGGGATTGATTGATTGAACTTTTTAGTCCCACCCACTCTGCCGTTACCACCCCAGCCACGCCCACTCAATGGGCCACACCCAGCCAATGGGCCACACCCACCCGGCACCCCACGATGCATAAGTGGGTTTTGGGTTTGCAGTTTGGGCACTCGGTCTCTAAAAAGTTCACCATCATTGGACTAGATGATCCTCAAGGTAACCAGCTCCACAGTTCTGGCTCTACAATTCTGTCTCAAAGACACCACACTCTCCCTGTGAATATTTCCCCCAAATGCTTTGCTTCTTTGAAAAATATTTCGTTAATTGAAACGATGGACTGTCTTCTCCAAATGGATCAGTCAAGCGGGGAACGTCCTTCGTGGTGGTGCACAGAGGGGCGGCTGTGAGGCCCGACTAGGGGGGACATTATAGCAGCATTCCAGTATCTCAGGGGCTGCCCCAAAGAAGAGGGAGTCAAGCTATTCTCCAAAGCGCCTGAAGGCAGAACAAGAAACAACGGGTGGAAACTAATCAAGGAGAGAAGCAACCTGGAATTAAGGAGAAACTTCCTGACAGTGAGAACAATTAACCAGTGGAACCACTTGCCTCCAGAAGCGGTGAATGCTCCAACACTGGAAGTTTTTAAGAAGAGACTGGACAGCCATTTGTCCAAAACGGTATAGGGTTTCCTGCCTGAGCAGGGGGTTGGACTAATAGCCTTCAAGGTCCCTTCCAACTCAACCAAGGAGAGAAGCAACCTGGAATTAAGGAGAAACTTCCTAACAGTGAGGACAATTAACCAGTGGAACTGCTTGCCCCCAGAAGTGGCGGATACTCCATCCCTAGAGGTTTTTAAGAAGAGATCGGACCTTCATTTGTCTGAGATGATAAAGGGTCTTCTGCTTGAGCAGGGGGCTGGACTAGAAGACCTCCAAGGTCCCTTCCAGCTCTATTCTATATTCTATTCTATACTCTAATGTACATATGTATGACAAAACGCCCACCTTTCTACACAGCAACCATCAGGTCAGTTTAAAGTCGCCACTTAGAGCAACGTGGAAGAAATTCTCAGCCTGCCTAAGAGTGAGGCAGAGACCCGAGATCTTTCTTCAGGGGAAAGCAACTTCTGAAGAGTTGCAAAACGTTTGCAGAAAGCAACCGGCATGGTGGAAAGGAGCCAGGCCCCTCCTGGAGTGTGGAGACACAGCTGGAGGGCCAGATTGCCTTTAGAAGTGTGGGGATTGCAAGCCACCCTCGTTCGTCATTTTGCCGTTGTGCGGACTGCAAGGCGATCCAACCGGTCAGTCCTAGAGGAGATCAACCCCGACTGCTCTTGAGAAGGCCAGATCCTGAAGTTGAAACTCAAATGTTTTGGCCACCTAATGAGAAGGAAGGACTCCCTGGAGAAGAACCTAATGCTGGGAAAGATGGAGGGCAAGAGAAGAAGGGGACGACAGAGAAGGAGGTGGCTGGATGGAGTCCCTGAAGCAGCAGGCGTGAGCTTCAATGGACTCCAGAAGATGGCAGAGAACAGGAGGAACGTTGTCCATGGGGTCACGATGGGTCGGACACGACTTCGCAACTAACAACAAGCGTTGGGAGGGGATAGCAAGAGACACCTCTTTCTTCTTGAAGCATCAAAGTAAGCTGGGAAAAAACAAGGTGTTGTCCAGTTCCGCTTTTTCTCACCTTTATGAACTATAAAAGTTCAGGAAGCCGAGAAGGAACCTGTCAGCCTGATGGACTTTGGTCTTTCGTATCGAACACTGGAATCCTACAGCACTGACAGGGACTGAGTACACCGAGTTCAGCTTAGTTTGCCAAACACACTAATAAAACGTTTCCCACGAATGTTCCTTGGGTAAAGCCTGCAGTTTATCCTGAGCAAATCCAAAGCGCTTAAGCTATAGCTGGAGCATTTCCTTGCTCCAAAACGTCTCTGCTTGTTTCAATCCCAATTTCTATCCAAAGGGAGCCATTCGATTTATTTGCTTGTTCGTTTATGGAGCCCAGCCTTCCTTAGCGACGTGTGCTTCGTCCTTTATTTTTATTAGTACGAAGGCTGTATTTGCGCAACCTGCTAAATTTTATTAACTTCAGACTCGGTTCGTTTGCTCGGTGCTTTGAGGGTTGTGCAAATTGAACTCATTGGTTCTTTAATGAAATCTGTTGTGCAAACACGGAACTAGATTAATTCACTAGCTGAGTTCAAATAATGTCTCCCAAGCTGATAACCAAAGTGAGGAATGAATTAAATGAATTATTTGTTCTGACCAGAATAAATTAAAGAAGCATAGACTAGGTTTAAGTCTTCAGTGTGCGGAAACACTTTGAAACTGTTTTGCTTCTCCAAATGTGTTTCTCCCGTACAATCCTGTTTACCCGGAATGCATTGTGGAATTTTTCCTCCAGTGAAGCAGGATTGGGCAAGGAACACATTGCAACATACAAATTGGCCGTAAAAATTCACCAGCTAAAACAAGACTTCGGCAAGAGTATGGTTCTCTCCATCACTGTAGGGAGCTGTTTCACAGTGGCAGTGAGTTCCACAGTTTTTATTTTTTTTTGCACTGTGAGGAACAGGTCACCCTCCACTGAAACTTACTTATCAGACTTATATCCCACCCTTTATTTTATAAATAACTCAAGGTAGCTAACACACCAAATACTCCCCCCTCCTCCTCTTCCTATTTGCCCCACAATAACCCTGTGAGGTGAGTTGGGCTGAGAGAGAGGGACATGCCTAAGGCAGGACTAGAACTCACAATCTCCTGGGGATTGGCCCAGAGTCACTCAGTGGGCTTTCATGGCTGAGGCAGAACTAGAACTCACAATCTCCTGAGGATTGGCCCAGAGTCACCCAATGGGCTTTCATGGCTGAGGCGGAACTAGAACTCACAACCTCCTGGGGATTGGCCCAAAGTCACCCAATGGGCTTTTATGGCTGAGGCAGAACTAAAACTCACAACCTCCTGGGGATTGGCCCAGAGTCACCCAATGGGCTTTCATGGCTGAGGCGGAACTAGAACTCACAATCTCCTGGGGATTGGCCCAAAGTCACCCAGTGGGCTTTCATGGCTGAGGCAGAACTAAAACAACTTCCTGGGGATTGGCCCAGAGTCAGCCAATGGGCTTTCATGGCTGAGGCAGAACTAGAACTCACAACCTCCTGGGGATTGGCCCAGAGTCATCCAATGGGCTTTCATGGCTGAGGCGGAACTAGAACTCACAATCTCCTGGGGATTGGCCCAAAGTCACCCAGTGGGCTTTCATAGCTGAGGCAGAACTACAACTCACAACCTCCTGGGGATTGGCCCAGAGTCACCCAATGGGCTTTCATGGCTGAGGCGGAACTAGAACTCACAATCTCCTGGGGATTGGCCCAAAGTCACCCAATGGGCTTTCATGGCTGAGGCGGAACTAGAACTCACAATCTCCTGGGGATTGGCCCAAAGTCACCCAATGGGCTTTCATGGCTGAGGCGGAACTAGAACTCACAACCTCCTGGGGATTGGCCCAAAGTCACCCAATGGGCTTTCATGGCTGAGGCGGAACTAGAACTCACAATCTCCTGGGGATTGGCCCAAAGTCAGCCAATGGGCTTTCATGGCTGAGGCGGAACTAGAACTCACAATCTCCTGGGGATTGGCCCAGAGTCAGCCAATGGGCTTTCATGGCTGAGGCGGAACTAGAACTCACAACCTCCTGGGGATTAGCCCAGAGTCACCCAATGGGCTTTCATGGCTAAAAGTCACCCAATGGGCTTTCATGGCTGAGGCGGGACTAGAATTCACAATCTCTTGGTGACTGACCCAGAGTCACCCAGTGTGCCTTCATGGCTAAGGCAGAATTAGCACTCACAATCTTCAGAAATTCGTCATTGCAGACTAATCAACTGCCAGTTGGTTTAAAAAGCAGAAGTAAACAAAAGTTGCTGTTTGGCTCCCTATTTACATGCAAAATGAGAGGCACACAAGACAATCAGGAATGTCCTCTTTAGGGTAAAAGGGCAGTTTCCAGTGTTTGTCGGAAGGCGGGGGGGGGGGGGGAGGAAATTAAACTCGGCATGAACTAATTAAATAGGGAGGCGAGTTCAAGCAGAGCCTTTCCCAGGATACTCGCTTTGCGCCGGCTACTGAAAGAGCTTCGGTCCTACAGTTGCCTTGCCTCGTCCTGGAGTGCAGTCGGTGTCACATCCCCCCCCCCCATCTGCATCTCTGTTTTGACTCTCACAACAATTGAACGACTCCACAAAGGAAACTGAAAACTGGGTTTATTGCATTTGCTGAAAACCTGGTTACGGCTGTTTTGCCTGGGAATCTCCAAATTGTGACCTTGGCCTGGGTGGTTCCTGCCTTTAACTCAGTGGTTCTCAACCTGTGGGTCGGGACCCCATTTGGGGTCGAACGACCATTTCACGGGGGTCGCCAAACAACGCAGTCCGCCATTTTTTCCCCCCTTTTCCTTAGCTGTGCTACTTCCTTTTATTCTACTGGCTTTTGAAAGCCCATGGAATAGACTCTCTTGAATAGAGAGTTTTCAAAAGCCAATAGGAATTGTCCAGGCTGTCTCTGCCCTGCTGAGCCTGCCAAAAGTCCCATTCTGCAAATGGTGCTGCACCAGTGGAGTAGTCCTTGACTTACGACCGGTTGAGTAGTCCTCGACTTACGACTGGTTGGGGGTCGCGGCATTAAAAAGGTTGAGAACCACTGCTTTAACTGCTCCCAGTTCATGGCAGGCAGCAGCGTAAAAATGAATCCCTGAAGGAGCCACGTTCAGAAGGTGCTCTGGCAGCAACTGAGACTGTCTCTCGTTGCCACTTGCAGTTCTTTGCGAGTGGAGCCCAAGCAAAGGCATGTGAGAAGTGCACCAAGCCTTCATGCAGGGCCTTCCCTTGCCCCATTTGCATCCAGCCAGGAGATGATTCGCAGGTAGACTGTCTCAGAAAGTGGAGGTTTCATTTAGCTTGGCTGATATAACACAAAAGTCCAGTCGACACACCTGAACTTTCTGACATTTGGCTTCCTCGGGGCATTTGTGTCCAAAACTGTCCTGGCCTGGCTCTTCAGCTATGAATGCAGTGTTGTGTAAATACGCACAGTATCCTTGACACACATCCTTGCTGTACAGTGCCCCACCCTGCCAAAGTTCTCCCTGACTATTTTGGCCCAAAACAAAGATGTTCATTAGTGTCAGGTGAGTTTTCCACAGACATCCCCATCCTCCACGGAAAACATGCGCAACACATGACTTTCCTTCCATGTGGCTGCAGTTCAGAGACCCCCCCCATGCACAGCAGGACAGCAGGAACCAAGGAGAAAGGTGAAACACAAGCAGAAGTTTCGAACTGGACTGGATCAGCCTTTAATGAACTCAGAGACGGGCGTGCAAAAGCCTAGTGGTCATCCCCCCCCCCCCCTTGACTTCTCCAGTCCAGATTTCAACCCAATCCTGGCCTGTCTCATTTCTGGTTTTTTTTTCTCACAGCTGCCTCATTTCTGAGACACAAACTGGTCTGTGATGGAAGGCCAGGAGGACCTGTTAATTAATTGTCCCTAACTAATTAACAGGTGGCTGTTCCGTAGAAGCTGGGTTGACAAGATCAGAAATGAGGAGGGGATCAGCCGCCTGGGAAAACCCAGGGAAATCATCAAAACAATTAAAAAACGAAAGTTAGAATATTTCAGACGTGTGATGCAACACCCAGAAAAATACGGCATACTCCATTTAATCCTCCAGGGAAAGATGGAAGGCAAACGAGGTCCAGGCAGAAGAAGAACATCGTGGCTTCAAAATCTAAGGGACTGGTTTGGACAAAACTCAGCAGCACTTTTTCGTGCGGCTACTGATAAAAACAGGATCGCCAACATGATAATAGAATAGAATAGAATAGAATAGAATAGAATAGAATAGAATAGAATAGAATAGAATAAAATAATATGGAATAGAATGGAATAGAATTAGAATAGAATAGAATAGAATAGAATAGAATAGAATAGAATAGAATAGAATAGAATAGAATAGAATAGAATAATATGGAGTGGAATGGAATAGAATGGAATAGAATTTAGAATAGAATAGAATAGAATAGAATAGAATAGAATAGAATAGAATAGAATAGAATAGAATAGAATAGAATAGAATAGTGATGGCAAACCTTTTAGAGACTGAGTGCCCAAAAACCGCCCCCGCCCTGCCCCCCGCCTGCCCGCAGAGCCACTCACCAATCCATGGCCCGCCACATATCACCCAGGCAGCCCAGCAGCGCTAAGGCGGCCGCGCCCTCTACCCACACCCCACAGCATCAACTGCACATGATGGGGCGCGAGGGCGGAGTCTTGTCCCCGCTGCCCAGCTGCCATGTCCTTGGCTGCGCTGGTCCATGTGGGCCACGCTTGGTGGCGACTCTCCTCTGGGGGGCTGCTGGTGAGGAGGGGGCCACTGGGAGAGGCGGGGCTGGGGCGATGGCATGTGTGCCCACAGAAAGGGCTCTGAGTGCCGCCTCTGGCACGCGTGCCATAGGTTCACCACAACTGGAATAGAATAAGCGCTTATATCCCTCTTCATAGTGCTTTACAGTCCTCTTTAAGTGGTTTACACAGAATCAGCCTGTTGAACTAACAGGGTCAGAGCCACAAAACTCTCTCAAAGTTTCGTTCGAAACCTCTGTTCCTCTTAATTTTAGATGTTTGGGAGAAGAGAAAGCAACGACTCACTGGAGGAGCAAGCAACGCATCTGGGTATCGTCAAGGAACTCTCTTGCAGCATTAAGAAGCCAAAGCGGAGGCACGTCCCCAGTTGCACAGATCTTTGATTTGAAAAAGCCCCAGTCAGCATTAGGATCCTGGAATTTGGCTCGGGTCTGAAGCACCTTCCTCAAGGTCCAGAAGATGCTACTCAGAGTCCACCAGCTGCACAATCCTCTTTTTCCGGTTCCAAGATGGTAGACAAGGCAGTATCCGCCTTTGCTCCGCTTCGAGGACTGTGGGGAGCATCGGATGGGCCGAGAGGCAGAACCACCAGCTCCCCCTCCTCCCAGGCCCTGTGGGAGGAAAACATCTGGTAGGAGGCGATGGAGGACAGCCGGCGGAAGGTGTCCTTCATCGCTTCTTGGAACTCGCGGCGGATCAGGCAGTAGAGGATGGGGTTGAGGCAGCTGTTGGCATGAGCCAAGCAGGTGGTCAAAGGGAAGACGTAAGTGTGGAGATAGTGAAAGGTGGCATCGTGGGGCACAGCCTCGAATTTCACCAGAACGCCCCAGACAGTGACCACATGGTTAGGGAACCAGCAGATGAAGAAGCAGCCGACGAGGAGGCGGACGGTGGCGGCAACCTGGTTATGCCGCGTTAGGCTGTGGCTGGTAATGTGGTGCAATCTGAGAAACCGAAGGAGGAGGAGGTAAGACGTCAGGATGACCACCAAGGGGATTACAAAGGCAAGCACCACTCTCTGGAGTTGGTAGATCCCCAAGTGATACTGGCTGGGGAATTGGAAGAGGCAGAGTTCCACCCCGGCAACGTTTACCACTCCGGCATAGACAGCCGTCGGTACAGTGAGCCCCACCGCCACGGCCCAAAGGGCAGCAGTGATGCACTTGGCCGCTTGCGGCGTCATCCTTAACCCATCCTTCACCGCCGAGACTACCGACCAGTAGCGGGTGACCCCCATGGCCGTAAGCAAGAAGACGTTGACGTAGATGCTGAGAAGAGTCAGGGAAGGGATGGCTTTGCACATGGCTTGGCCAAAGGGCCACTGGAAGTCCAAGGCCATCTCCGTGGCCCAGAAAGGCAGCATCAGGGAGAACTGGAAGTCGGCGACTGCCAGGCCAAAGACCAAGATGTTAATGGCTGCCGTGGACCGGTCCTTCTGGATCCAAATGAGGTACATCACCAGGCTGTTTCCCAAGAGGCCCCCCGCGCACACCAGCAGGTAGATCGTGGTGATGAATATTCTTACGCCAAATGAAACATCCGGTGAGACCAAGGCGGTGTCATCACTGAACAAGTCAAATATCCCCATCGAGGTCCCGTTTGTGACACTGACATTCCACCTGTCGCCCCAAAGCTCGGTCAGATTCATCTTGGAGCAGAAACAGATTCCCTGAAAGATCCTTTTTCACGGCCCCTCTGACCATCGCACAGTTGAGGCCGGAAGGCTGCAGTATCTTCCCAAGGAAATATCTGTCCAGGTCTTCCACACAGCCGCCCTTCTGCCTTGCAAATCAGGGATGTGGGGACAAAGATGCTGCTTCTGGGCCTCCAGCCCTCCAGGCTTCCCTTCCTTTCACGGGGAGCTGCAGCTTTTAGCTTTGCTTTCAGTATCCAAATCCTGGCTGGAGCTGGAGCTGCCGACTTGCTGGGAAAAGAGAAAGGCACAATCGGAGCTGGGACGGGGACTCGCTCACCACGCCCAGCTTGAAGACCAAGGACAGCCTCCCTGTCAGGTGGGCAGGGCAAGGACACGCCTCTCCTGGCACACCTGCTGCATTCCTTATCTCCGATTGCACCTGCAAGGCCTTTGTGGAGGGAGCTTTGGGAAGCCAACCTGCAGTGGAAACTTGGTACCCAAGTTGACACTGGCTGTTTGTGCTACTTGCTGTAACGGACAGCGTCGAAACCTGGACCCTAACCTCACAATACAATACAAAAGCTACGAGTGGTGCAAAGAAAGAGACATGCTCAGCATCACGGGACAAGATAGGAAGACCCGCACGTGGATCATTAGGGAACAAAGGAAAATATACGAGGCCATCAAGAGAGTAAAAGAATGGAAATGGAAATGGGGCTGGTCACATAACAAGAATAACCAATGGCCGGTGGACCAAGGTGGTCATAGAGTGGATCCCACTTGATCAAAAGCGCCCATGAAAGAAGGGTCATGAATCCAACTGGCCAAATGAAAGCTCAGGATTGTATTGGTGGGAAACATGCGGAAGAGGCCTTCATCCTGCACTGGATAGACTATGGCTAGGATGATGATGAATGATGGTCTGTCTGCCTGCTTGCCTGCCTACCTACCTACCAACCATGTCGGTCTGTCTGTTTGACTGTCTATCTATCTATCATCATCATCATCATCAAGTTGGAAGGGACCTTGGAGATCATCTAGTCCAACCCCCTGCTCAGACAGGAAACCCTATACCATTTTGGACAAATGGCTGTCCAGTCTCTTCTTAAAAACTTCCAGTATTGGAGCATTCACCTCTTCTGGAGGCAGGTTGTTCCACTGATTAATTGTTCTAACTGTCAGGAATTTTCTCCTTAGTTCTAGGTTGCTTCTCTCCTTGATTAGTTTCCTTCCGTTGCTTCTTGTCCTGCCTTCAGGCGCCTTGAAAAATAGCTTGACTCCCTCTTCTTTGTGGCAGCCCCTGAGATATTGGAACACTGCTATCATGTCCCCCCTCGTCCTTCTCTTCTCTTCTCTTCTCTTCTCTTCTCTTCTCTTCTCTTCTCTTCTCTTCTCTTCTCTTCTCTTCTCTTCTCTTCTTTTATCTATTAAGAACCGATGGCCGGTGGACTAAGACGGTCATAGAATGGATCCCACTTGGTCAAAAGCGCCCACGAAAGAGATCTAAAGCAAGATGGACATTAGGAAGGGTCATGGGCCCAACTGGCCAAAGGAAAACTCAGGACTGTATTGGTGGGAAACATGCGGAAGAGGCCTCCATCCTGCAGCGGATGGACCATGGCTAGGTTGATGATAAATGATGATGATGGCACAAGATTGACAGCACTTCTGCTAAGCCACCATAGTAACAACAGTGACAACCAAGCTCAGTATGTGCAGCTCCACTGTATTCCGTAAAGAAGCCCCAAAAAATGGCTAAAAAAATAAAATTAATGTCTACTGTACATCATGCTGCTTGTAAAGTTTGAACAAGGTTTGACTATCGGGAAGGTCCACCCAAGGAGACGGGGGGGGGGGTCTTTTGCAGCTGTCAAGGCTCCTTCCAATCACAGCCCCGTGTTCTGCAATCTCCTTGCCCATCATTTAAAAAACTGGGGAGTCCTCTTTTTAAACTCCCAAACGAGCTTGACAGCATTGGGATAAGAAAAAGCTATTTTCCCATCCTTGGAAAAGTGAGATGGGTGGCATATAAAATTAATAAGGCACAATAAGTCAATAAATGTACAATAACATCCTTTCCTTGGATCAGACCCTGCGAGAAATCAGAGGCTGCCTTTGCCCCCACATCCACTCCAACAAGCCCACCCCAGCTCCACTTCTTATCTTTAATTTCCATTTTTTTTCTTTTTGTTCCTGTTCATTCCACATGAGTCATACACCATTTACTTTCCTGTAATGTTTTGATTTTCTCAAACTTAGCTTCTTTGGATTGTAACGATTGTTTAAAAGGGAAAAAAAAATCCATCTTTTATTTGATAGAATGTGCTGGGCTTCCTCTTTTTTTTTAGCCTGTTGAATAGCGCTCTCTAGTGGCTGAAGAGAATAACGGAATCATAAAACAGAATCCTAGGACTAAAAAGGGATCTCGGAGGTCTTCTAGTCCAACCCTCCACTCAAGGCAGGAGCCTTATACCATCCCAGTCAAAGGGTCCTCTAGTCCAGGGGTGGGCAACCTTGGCTCTTTTATGACTCGTGGGCTTCAACTCCCAGAATTCCTGAGCCAGCAAAATGAATACACAGGCATAAGCAATAAACAAATAAGCAAATTTATTTGAGGGGTCCTGACACTATTTTAGGAAAGCTTAAGCGGTTACAGAAGTAGCAGAAGCTAAATCGGAGGTTTTCCTGTGCGAACAACACTAAGGAAATTTCCCTCTTTCCCCTCACTCTGGCCTAGGCCTAGGCTGCTTTATGACTTGTGGACTTCAACTCCCAGAATTCCTGAGCCAGCGTGGGGGAACTATGGCCCCCTCATGACTCGTGGACTTCAACTCCCAGAATTCCTGAGCCAGCATGGGGAAACTATGGTCCTCTCATGACTTGTGGACTTCAACTCCCAGAATTCCTGAGCCAGCGTGGGGGAACTATGGCCCCCTCATGACTCGTGGACTTCAACTCCCAGAATTCCTGAGCCAGCATGGCTCAGCTTGGAAACCTCACCCTTTCCCCTCAGCATGGCTGGCTCAGGAATTCTGGGAGTTGAAGTCCACGAATCATAAAGCGGCCTAGGCCTAGGCCAGAGTGAGGCAACCTTGGCTCTTTTATGACTCGTGGACTTCAACTCCCAGAATTCCTGAGCCAGCATGGCTCAACTTGGAAACCTCACCCTTTCCCCTCAGCATGGCTGGCTCAGGGATTCTGGGAGTTGAAGTCCACGAGTCATAAAAGAGTCAAGGTTGCCTACCCCTGGCCTAGGCCTAGGCTGCTTTCTGACTTGTGGACTTCAACTCCCAGAATGCCTGAGCCAGCATGGCTCAGCTTGGAAACCTCACCCTTTCCCCTCAGCATGGCTGGCTCAGGGATTCTGGGAGTTGAAGTCCATGAGTCATAAAAGAGCCAAGGTGGCCTACCCGTTATAGTCCAATCTTTCCCTTCCCCTCCTCCTCCCCGTTGCTAGTGTCAGGCTGTCAGCTTATGAAGCTTGGCTAGGAGAGACGCAGCAAAAACCCAAGGCAGACCCCTGTTTCCCCCAGCTGGACAAAGCAAAGTTTTTCTAGCCAGCGGCTTTATTGAACAAGCCATTGTAGCTTTGTGTTATGCAGGTGAAAACATGACGGTTGGATAGGATTTGGACAAGAAATGAACAAAAGCCGGAACAAGTGATGATCGCTTTATTAAGACTAGCTGAATTAACAAAATATTGATTTGCCTTCTCGAAGATGAAAATTATAGAACAGAGGATAGAACTGAGAAGCGAGAAAAGGCCCCCATGTATGTCACGGAACCATTTCAGAAACTCAGAAAACTTGAATTTGGACTTAAATGAACCATTTCATTCATGATTTGCGAACGGCCATACATGGGATCTTGTTGGAAGACACTAAGCTGCACCCAAGAGGTCGCTTGGCTGCTAGACGCTCTCAGAATCATTTGCCCACGTCGGTCTCGGCAGGTGAGGTCCACCTGAGTCACCCAGATTAGAAACAGCTCATGCTTGTCACCTGATTTTCATTCAGCCAAGGACGGGACCAGACTTCAAAGTTACAGGTTAGTTTCTGGAAGGGAACAAAAGAGAAAAAAAGAGAATCTTTAAACCAGTGGTTCTCAACCTTTTTAATGCCGCGACCCCCAACCGGTCATAAGTCAAGGACGACTCAACCGGTCGTAAGTCGAGGACTACTCAACTGCACCGTTTGCAGAATGGGACTTTTGGCGGGCTCAGCAGGGCAGAGACAGCCTGGACAATTCCTATTGGCTTTTGAAAGCCAATAGAATTAGACTCTATTCAAGAGAGTCTATTCTATTGGCTTTCAAAAGCCAATAGAATAAAAGGGAGTAGCACAGCTGAGGAAAAGGGGTGAAAAAATGGCGGACTGCGTTGTTTGGCGACCCCCGTGAAATGGTCGTTCGACCCCAAATGGGGTCCCGACCCACAGGTTGAGAACCACTGCTTTAAACCCAGTTAAACATTCATGGAAATAAATTAAATGCGCTGGGGAAACTTTGAAGAAACCACCTCTGGTCAAAGGGCTTAGCCTGGCCTTTTTTAACGAGACCTTGCAAAGTTGCTCAGCAGACTACAAATCCCATCTCCTGAGACCCATGGAATGACGTGTTGCACTATCCCAATTTGAGTCCTGGTTCACCGAGAATGGCAAGCAAACTGCGATGGCAAAGTAAGTTCACACAACCAGCTTAAATGGGAAGCAAGCAGGCCAAGTTACAGCTGGGTCATTTGTCCAACTCAGGTTGTTGAATAACAAATCACCGTAGGTTGTATCCCTTCTTTCTTGGGAACACAAAAACTGTCTTTACTTTAACTTGTCTTCAGCTGCTTTTCCTGTGATGCAAAACTCCCATGGGAATCCCTTGCATAATGGCTCTCCAAAGTGGTTGTCTGAACTCAGTGCCTTCTCTGAGGACCTGGAACTCCCACCACCTGTTTAAAAGGAACCCTGAGTCACCAAACCACCCACCTAGCACCACAGAGGAAGTACAACTCCCCCTAATGAATTTTAAGGCATGTTGAAAGATCAGCCTCCTCCATGGATTACTGCCTTGTCATGACGAAGGGGCTTGCGTAACTCAATGAAGCTATGAGCTATGCCGTGCAGGGCCACCCAAGACGCACAGGTCATAGCAGAGAGTTCTGACAAAACGTGATCTATTGGAGAAGGAAATTGCAACCCACTCCAGCATCCAGCCTGCAAACTCAGAAAGCCTCCAAAACGGCTTAACCAAGTTTGGAAGGAAGAACTGAGCAAGGGGCGAGATTGTTCGGTCCTGCTCTGCGCATCTTAATAATTTATTAAGGACCTGGATGAAGGCGGGGAGCAAATGACGATCCCATTGATGGATGACACGAAGTTGGAAGACTTTAGAGGAGAAAGAGAAGATTGCAAAGATCTAGAGCAGTTTGGAGAGCTGGTTGAAACAAAATGGATGACATTTCACAGAGAAAATGGAAGAGAAAGATAATAAGGATTCTGGAGGCTAAATCCCCTGATGAACGGTTAAGGGAACTAAGTCTGTCTAGTCCAGGGGTAGGCCACCTTGGCTCTTTTATGATTCGTGGACTTCAACTCCCAGAATTCCTAAGCCAGCATGGGGAAACTATGGCCCCTTCATGACTTGTGGACTTCAACTCCCAGAATTCCTGAGCCAGCCATGCTGAGGGGAAAGGGTGAGGTTTCCAAGCTGAGACAGGCTGGCTCAGGAATTCTGGGAGTTGAAGTCCACGAGTCATAAAGCAGCCTAGGCCTAGGCCAGAGTGAGGCAACCTTGGCTCTTTTATGACTTGTGGACTTCAACTCTTAGAATTCCTAAGCCAGCATGGGGAAACTATGGCCCTTTCATGACTTGTGAACTTCAACTCCCAGAATTCCTGAGCCAGCATGGCTCAGCTTGGAAACCTCACCCTTTCCCCTCAGCATGGCTGGCTCAGGAATTCTGGGAGTTGAAGTCCATGAATCATAAAGCGGCCTAGGCCTAGGCCAGAGTGAGGCAACCTTGGCTCTTTTATGACTCGTGGACTTCAACTCCCAGAATTCCTGAGCCAGCATGGCTCAGCTTGGAAACCTCTCCCTTTCCCCTTAGCATGGCTGGCTCAGGGATTCTGGGAGTTGAAATCCACGAGTCATAAAAGAGCCAAGGTGGCCTACCCCTGTGCTAGTCTAACAAAGACAAGACCTAGAAGTGACTTGATACAGTCTTCCACTACTTGGGGGGCTGTTTATGAAGAGTCGGATCAAGAGGAATCCTTGTTCCTCTCTGTCCTGTCCTGGTCAGGCCCCACTTGGAGTTTTGTCCAATTTGACCCCCAGAGACTGGAGTGAGTGCAGAGGAGGATCTGGAAACCAAGTCCTAAGAACAGCAATGAAGGGAACTGGTTTCATTTAGCCTGCAGAAAGAAAGGCTGCGCAGGGATGTGACATTAGTCTTCAAGTACCCCAAATGATAGTCCTTTGTCACAGAATATTTATTAAAGGGGATAATATAAAGACTAAGGGAGAGCCATCAGATAATCAGATTGTCTGCTGGGAAATATCTACAAATATTTAGGGGGGGGGAACTAACCCAGTTAGGATGCTGTGTGATGCACTGGCTAAGGGGCTTTCCTCTACTCAACCTGGAACTCATAATTCTCATTTTTATAACCCGCCTTCCCATTTTTTTGTTTTATTATGTTCTATGAATACGAATCATCCAAAACAAGCATTACAGAGAAGTTCAGAGAAGCTAAGCTGAGACAAGGCTTCTTTCATCAGCTCAGCTGCAAAAAATGTAACCCTCTAATCTTACCTTCCCTTGTGGAAGGAGTTCACAGTTCTGGATTTCGCTGTACGTCATTGGCCCGTTGCTCTTTTCACACACGGTTTCCCCTATCTCCACCGTAAGATAGTATTTTGCGCCTGCAACCACCTGGATTTAAAAAATGGGTACCACAATGTTTAGGTAATTGCTGCAAAAAAAAAAGTTATAATAAATTCTATATCATGCTTCATTTCATCAGATGCAACCTTGGAAGGATCATAGCTTGAGAGAAAGAAAATCAGTTCAGCTGGAAATATTTCGGAAGCAAACAGTCATGTCCTTTCAGTTCACAATTTGCTCAAGACGCAATGCAGTTCCCCCCCCCCCCGGGAATAGCCCCCTAAACTGCCTCCACCATCCCCCTCCACTGTTTCCAGAGCTCTTTCCTAAAATCTTTCAAATACCCATCCGTGCACTGATGATATTATCTAGTTTGGTAATGAAATGTCTTCAAGAAAACAATCAAGCTCAGAGCGTTCCGAGGACTCCACGGACCCTATGAGGCTGCCCACCTACCCTGATTGTCCCTCACACAAACACACCTGGGTCTCTGCCTTCACAATACGCAGCACTTTGAAATAGTTGGTGTTGTCGCTGCGCTCGTTGTACTGCTCCACGGCAAAGGCGGCAGCGTTCTGCACCCCCTCATCTGTGACAGATGCGGGGGAAAGACCCCCTGGCACTCCCACCTGCAGTAGCACCGTGGGCAGCATCAGGAGGGAGCAAAGGACGACGAGAGGGCAAGGCATCTGGGAATGCGCCATGGGGCTGGTGAGAGAGAGAGAGGCTGGCAGGTGCGCAAGTAGAGCAAGCAGGCAACCCCAACAGTCACACTGAACTGAACCTGGCACAGCGGGGACAGATATAGCCCAGGATGGCAATGAATCCTGGGAATGTTTGCCGATCGTTATCTACATCTTATTTGCCCATCCTTATTTACCCATATATCAAATATGAATTATTTGATAATAATGCAATAATTGGAAGATAAGAGCTGCGTTCACAGGACCAACTGATCCAGCCCTGAGATAGCAAGCACACCCAGCACTTAACCCCATTCCACCTCATTTGATGCCTTAACTGAGATTAGAATAACCATCCTGCACCGTTTACAGCAGTGGTTCTCAACCTTTCTAATGCCGTGACCCCATAATACAGTTCCCCATGTTGTGGTGACCCCCAACCACTTATACATCACCGGGTGCCAGGGGCGTGGCCAAAGGGAAGGGAAAAAAATGGCGGACAGCCTTGTTTGGCGACCCCCATGAAATGGTCGTTCGACCCTAAATGGGGTCCCGACCCACAGGTTGAGAACCACTGGTTTACAGTAACCCACGGCAGTGCCTGTTGCAGGAAGGGAAAGAAAAGGAGAGGAGGCAAAGCTACTCTTGAAAACCTTGACAGGATGCAGGCTAATGAAATGAATCAGAATACAAGGGAAGGGACCTTGGAGGTCTTCTAGTCCAGCCCGCTACTCAAGCAGGAGATCTATACCATTCCAGACAAATGGCTGTCCAGTCTCTTCTTAAAAACCTCCAGGGATAGAGCACCCACAACTTCTGAAGGCAAGCTCTTCCACTGGTTAATTGTTCTCACAGTTAGGAAGTTTCTCCTTAATTCCAGGTTGCTTCTCTCCTTGTTTCCATCCATTGTTTCTTCTCCTGCCTTCTGATGCTTTGGAAAATAAGTTGACCCCCTCTTCTTTGTGGTCACCCCTCAAATACTGGAATACTTCTATCATGATGTCACCCCTAGTCCTTCTTTTCTCTAGACCAGCCATACCCAATTCCTGCAACCGTTCTTCGTATGTTTTTGTCTCCAGGCCCTTAATCGTCTTAGTTGCTCTTCTCTGCACTTTTTCCAAAGTCTCAACATCTTTTTCGTAATGTGGTAATCAAAACTGGATGCTGTATTCCAGGTGCGGCCTTACTAAGGATAATAATGGCTCTTGTTTTGCAAGGCCAACCTCACCCAAAGCTGCCATTGTACACCTTGGCTGAATTTACAGAATGCACATGCCCTCAACTCATTTTAGCCAACATTTTACCATTTAGAGTTCAGTATATTCTTTATGGTTTTGCGTCTCTTCCAGAGAAGGCTGTCTTCACCTTCATGTGAAACCAGACCATGGTTTGCCACTTTTCTCTGCAAATCAAAGTTTACAGCTCTGTGGTTGGATTAGATTAATACAGTGAAATGTGGTTAGTCCTAGACTAGGAAGTCACGCTAATACAGTGACGGATGAGCCAGCTTATTAAATTATTCTAGACAGGTGAGATTAATTCAGCAAACCACAACTTAGCATGAGGTGCCAAGCAGGTATTCTGGTCAGCCAGTATAATCTTCTCACCTTGCAGAATAACTTTATTTTCCCATCCTATTATCCTTGGGTTTTTACAACTATATCCGATATATATCACATATACACTTGTACACAATATACAGGAAGTCCTCGACTTACAACCGTTTTTGAGCCCAGAATTACAGTTGTAAGCCATGCTGATTATTAAGGGAGTCATCACGTGACCAACCCAATTTTAAGACTTTTTTGTGTCAGCCAATAAGTGAATATGAGGTCATTAATCAAATCCATGATCCGCAGTGAGAGGCTTTTTGGCAGAAACCAAAAATAAACATAGGTTTCCAGCAAAATTAATCTAATCTGCTGGCCTGAAAAGTCAATAAAACTAATTCAATATTCCCCCTTTTGTGGATTTATTATTAGAGTTTGAGTCGTTATATCTCTCTCCAGAGAGGAAAAAAAATCTTCCTTCATAAAAAGAAAATCGATCTTGCGCATCGTACCGAGAGCCAGAATGAGTTTCCTACAGCATCCTGGGCCAAGACATGGCATACATATAATCCTTTCCAAGTTCCATACACAAATTACACAGAATTTATAGAAAAGGGCCATTGGCAACTTCAAACATTGTTATCAGAATACTTTATCATCAAATATTGCCTGAATAACACATTGGAATGATAAATATTGCTTAAGAGGCATCTCATAGTAAGTGCACGCCTGTTGTCTCAGGCCAAAGCACCTGTGCTTGACCATCACCTGACCAGGTTTATGACCATGATTGATGTGAAATTGAAGAAGCCATACAATCCTTTCCAAGTCCCAGCCACCAATTACAGGAATAGAAAAGGCCATCGACAACTTCAGATAATGCGTTATCAAAATCTTTTAACATCAAATAGCGTCCAAATGACAAATAGTGGAATGATAAATATTTCCTAAGAAGTACTTAATTTAAGTATACACTTATTGTCTCAGGCCAAACGCCCGTGGTTTTCCACCACCTGCATCAGATATGTGATCATGGCTGAGAAGAGCAGCCCAGCCCAAACCTAAGGTTGAGAACGCAATTAGAAAAAAGTACTTATCCCTATTCTGTGGAAAACTTCAAATTTGGTTTACTCCTTTGGAGTGAAATTCAAACAGAGAGCAGATGATGTAATACAGGGGTGTCAAACTGCCGGCCCGCAGGCCGGATGCGTCATGCCAAAACCACACCCATCCCAGTTCCAGCAATGGGGAAAAAGTTGTGATACGTTGCGACACGTCACGTGACGTGGCAAGTTTGACTCCCTTGATGTAATAGATGTCCTCTGAAATTCATCTCATTGTTGGTCTTTAGAGGGAACCAATTCCCATTCCCACAATCCCCAACCAGTGCAAGCAGTGACCGTGCTGATTGGGGATGATGGGAACTATAACCCAGTACTTTGGGGGATGCCAAACTGGACAATGCAGTCTGAAATTCCTAGAAAGACAGTGAGAGAGAAAAGGAAATAAATGTTTATACCAGTGGTTCTCAACCTGTGGGTTGGGACCCCATTTGGGGTCGAACGACCATTTCACGGGGGTCGCCAGACAATGCAGTCCGCCATTGTTTCCCCCTTTTCCTTAGCTGTGCTACTCCCTTTTATTCTATTGGCTTTTGAAAGCCAATAGAATAGACTCTCTTGAATAGAGTCTAATTCTATTGGCTTTCAAAAGACAATAGGAATTGTCCAGGCTGTCTCTGCCCTGCTGAGCCCGCCAAAAGTCCCATTCTGCCAACGGTGCTGCACCAGTTGAGTAGTCCTCGACTTACGACCGGTTGAGTAGTCCTCGACTTACGACCGGTTGGGGTCGTGGCATTAAAAAGGTTGAGAACCACTGGTTTATATGGAAGAATTTAAAACAAATATTCCTCCAGAGACCAGGCTTACAAAACTCATTGATGCCAAAATATAATTATCTTGGTTTTGGCTTAGTGGGGTGCAAATCATAGCTTATTGCTGTTGTGGGTGTCCAGCCAATGTCAGCACGAAAACAAGTGTTGCTTAAATGAATCAAGTGTTAAAACAAGTGTTGCTTAAATGAATCAAGTTTATGTTATAGGAATACAATGAAACAACATTGGTCTCATCATCAGAAACCAACGAAGTTTCCAATTCATGGAAATATCAAGGATATTTAATTTGAGGATTTCACTCTAAAATTCCCACCTTCCAAATTTGGTCGCTCTGCGTGTGTCTCTATAGCTATCCTGGGCCAATTTGTGTGAGAAAAATGGAACAGATAAATGAGATTTCACTACCTTATAATTTTCAGAGAGGCTCTAGTCCCACCAAAAAAATTTGTAGGTTGCTATTTTTTATTGTGAACCACTCTGAGTCACTTAGCATTCCACATTTTATCAAATAAATAAACATTAATCAATTCAGGATTCTTCAAAAAAAAGGGTAAGGTGTAATCCTGTGTACTTCACAATGAGCATTCCAAAAGAATGCCAAAGTTTTGTAGGGGAAAAGTGCCGAAACCTCAGCAGAGAAACAAACGAGGCAACAGCAACAAAGCATTATATTTCAATTTGAGAGTGGGAAGATGAAATTTGGGTAAATTCTGCAACGTATGTTCTCTTTGTGTAGTGACCAAAAAATGACATTTTTTAAAAAAATTGCCAGGTTCTTACAGGACTGTCAGATCTATTCAAGTTTCTCTGGGTTAGTGAAATATAAGATGTAGCAACCTCTCAAGATTTCACTGCTTTAAGATTTATATGCAACCTACATTTCTACTGAGGCCTTGTAATTCTTCAGCGGTCTACAAATTGTAGCAACCCAGAAAATAAAGTGTTTACATTTCCTTGAACCCTTTGCATGTACCTAGAGCCAATATTGTAGTTATTGTACAATGAATGATTGAAAAATGTGTCTCTCCCAACATAATAAACTTATAATTAATTGTGTGCATGTGGGGAAAAAACCTCTGAAACAAGGAAATGATTTGGTTTGGCTTTTTAATAAGAAGTATCTCCTCATTTTGTAAGTATTGCATTGATATTTTAAAAATGTTTTGCCATGTTAACTGAGTGAATTTAATTCCAACAATTAAAATGCTGTTTTATCAGCTAATCTATCGGTGAAACATTATTTCCTTGTTAAAAAAAGTTTAAAATCCCTACTTTTTATGTGCCATTAAGTTGGTGGCAGATCAAATAGATTTTCTCCAGCAAGATCTGTTCCTAATCTGGTGCTTTGGGTATACTTGCAAATGCTACTTAGTGAATAACTTTTTTTTAGTTTGTGTAAAGGGCAAATAATTACAAATTGGGGCAAACAATCCATGCAAATAAGTCAATATTTACATTTGACTTAAAAGGGGACTGAAGAAAATTATCCAAGCCTTAATCTTTTAAAAAAGAAATCAGATTGTTAACTTTGATCTTAACCACAAAGTAATTAAAGTTGCACCTCTGGCAATACTTCTGGGCTGGTTGTGTTTGGATAGCAAAAACTCTCAGCGCCTGCCCCTGCTAGCTGTAAACACCTCTCCAGTGGAAAATGAATTATACTTTATTACTCCATGACAAAATCCTACAAAATAGACTTTAAAGATGAATTAAAATTCTTCTTCAGTAGAAATAGAACACCAGAAATCTCTCATACTATTGACAGGGAAACAAACAATGTGTGTGTGCGTGTGTGTGTGTGTGTGTGTGTGTGTGTGTGTGTGTGTGTTCTGTCTTTGAACCATTCCAAATTTTCCCTGCAATCCCCCCCCCCTAAATGCAGTGGCAAAAAAAAAATGTGACGTGCAATTTGAACCTCGACTGCAACATTTCGCTAACATAATTTCCTAGAAAGGAAAGAACATTGCTGATTAAGTCTGAGGGAGAATATTTGTAGTTCAGGGTTGAAATAAGGGGTCCTTGCTGCTCTCTGAGCTTGATTGTTTCCTTACAGACGTTTCATGACCCAACTAGGTAACATCATCAGTGATAGAAGGGAATGGAGTTGAGAGGAGGAGGAGAAGGACGACGACTGTGGGGTCCTTGGTGCTCTTTGACTGGATGGTTTTCTTCCAGGCGTTTCATTACCCTAACTAGGTAACATCATCAGAGCTACTGGTAGTAAGGAGTGCTGTTTGCACAATATAAACTGACGGCCAACAGCACTCCTTACTAGCACTGATATGTTACCTAATTAGGATAATGAAACATCTGCAAGAAAACAAGCAAGCTCAGAGAGCACCAAGGATCCCTGAAGGCCACTAAAGCCTGTAGTTGTGGGTCAGATCTAACCAAATTGGTATTCCTCAAAGACTGATTAATCTTTCCTTGTTTGTACCACCATCTTGATGACCTTGGCTGGCTTTGAAGAGCTAAGCAGCATGAGTACTGGTTAACATTAAACACAAGACTATGACGGTATCGTAAGTTGGGAGGGGAGGAGGAGGAGGAGGAGGAGAAGAGGAGGAAGAGGAGTCTGTTTTGCATCATTTTCTGTTTTGCATCATTGTCCTCCATTCACACTCTAAAAACAGACCCCTGCTCTAAAACATTGCAGCAAATACTGTAAGTTAACAGTAACAATGATGAGTATTACGATTACAGAAATTAGAATAGACATGAATGTACCATAATGTAGCAATTTAGCACACCAGCCATTATTATCTGACCACCGAAAAAATAAATATTCAGAATATGGAAAATATTCCGTTATAATATAATTAATATATGGAGTGTGTTGATTCAAGCACTGTTACAAATATTAAAAAATATTCTGCTCTCTCTTGGGACTCCTTGTCTTTTTCAAGTATAAAATAGCTGTGCATTTCTTCAGCTGAGCTAATTAACCTATTAAAGCAGGGGTCCCAAAACCAATCCACAGCCTGGTACTGGGCTGCAGCCTGTTGAGAACCAGTGGCAGTTGAGTGCGCGAACGGGCGAAGCTGCATTTGTGCAAGCAATGTGGGTGAGTGAAACCATCCCCTTGCCCTTCCACCACAGCTACCACCGCCTCAGTGTTGGGAACCCCTGAATTAAGGATAAGGAATGCATACAGTAGAATAACTCACTGTGGCAATCTTAACCGGACTAAAAAAGTAAGTGCTATGTGCAGGCATGGTTTTTTTTACATTTTATTAGAGAAACCTTTATGCCAAGGACTTGCATAACACCTTGCTCTGCATCCGAGTTTCAAAACACAATAAAAATATCTTTTAGAATGGTTTTCTTTTGCAGATGCCCTTTTCCCATCTGTTGCAATAAAAATACAGTCTATAAGTGGCCACCCAACCCTGGGTAGTAACAATGGGAGCCCGAAGAAGAAACGGAGGTAGTGACAGATTTTATTTTCCTGGGCTCCAAGATCACCGCAAATGGGGACTGCAGCCAAGAAATTAAAAGACGTTTGCTCCTGGGGAGAAAAGCTATGGCAAATCTAGACAGCATACTAAAAAGCAGAGACATCATCCTGCCAACAAAAGTGCGTATAGTCCAGGCCATGGTTTTCCCAGTTGCAATGTATGGCTGTGAAAGTTGGACCATAAGAAAGGCTGAGCGCCAAAGAATTGAGGCCTTTGAACTATGGTGCTGGAGAAGACTCTTGCGAGTCTCTTGGACTGCAAGGCGATCCAACCGGTCAGTCCTAGAGGAGATCAACCCCGACTGCTCTTTAGAAGGCCAGATCCTGAAGTTGACACTCAAGTACTTTGGCCACCTAATGAGAAGGAAGGACTCACTGGAGAAGGGCCTAATGCTGGGAAAGATGGAGGGCAAGAGAAGAAGGGGACGACAGAGAATGGGGTGGCTGGATGGAGTCACTGAAGCAGGAGGCGTGAACTTCAATGGACTCCAGAAGATGGTAGAGGACAGGAAGACCATGGGGTCGCGATGGGTCGGACATGACTTTGCAATTAACAACAACAAAAAGCTTTTGATACAGGTGAGGAACTAAACAACTTTTCAGGCAGATCCTTTCATTATACTAGGTGCATCAGAGAAAATAAGTTCATATCTACACTATGGGAGGGAATTGCAAAGCAGAACTGTGCAATTTTTAACAGTTCTGAACAGCATTCAACGGCTTTGACATTCAGAAAATATTTGGTCCATTTTTCGTGTGAAAGCAGATGTTGGAACCCTTCTTCGTCGCTGGAAGCTTCCACAATTTTTTTCAGGTGGTTGAACTGAAAGGAGCACTTCATATTGTCAATTTCCAGACCCTTCTCACTTAAGTACGCTATACATGCTTCCACGTCACCCCAGCTTGGTGTGTCGCTTAGGGCCATCCAGGCGAAGCAGGAGAACTCCTGCAGAGACGCCATCCACATCTCCAGGTAGTCTATGCAGTTGCTGTAGAGGCGATGCACCGCATCGGAGAAGGCGTCGCATTCTGCCTCCAGCCCCTCCTTGCGCTTGTCCGCAAGCATCCCCTTCACCGTCAGGGACATGAAGTTCTGAGCTCTTCGGTCAAGCAGGATGGTGTGCACGGAGTCCAGCGTCCTCATCACTTCCACGATGGAGTTGTTTTCCCGTTCCATCTCTTCGATGTGTAAGTGGAAGGCGTTCATCAGCGAGTGCATGTGCCAAAGGTAGAGCTCGCTGAACTCGTGCTCAAAGAAGCTCCTGAGCACGGTGGGTGGGTTGCTCTGGCCCAAGAAGAAGGACTTCAAGGCCGAGTGCATCTGGAGCAGCTTTGTGATGCCCGGGAACAAGGACAGCCACCGGGTCTTGCTGTGGGAGAGCAGCCGTTTGTACTCCACCTCCACAAACTCACAGTACTCCTGCAGGGACTCGGTCCGCACTGCGTATATGTGGAAGTACTGGTAGATCTTCAGAACGATGTTCTCTATGTCCACCTCCAGGGCGTCTGCTCCGTGGTGGATGCAGTTGTGCAAAACGTGGGCCGGGCAGTACACCCCAATCAAAGTCTCTCTCTGGAGGGCTCTCCTCAACCTGGCGAACACAGTCCTCGCCTCCTCGTCTTGCCGAAGTTCACCAAACATGGTGTTGCAGTTGTCCCCTGCAAAGGCCACGCATTTCTGGAGCAATCCGTGTTTCTTAAGAGTTTTGACGAGGTAGTCCGAAATGGCGTCGGCCGTCTCGGTGGGCGTTTCCTGAAGTTCCAGCAGTTTGGTCTTCAAGCCGCCGTTCCTGTAGTCGTAATATTGGATGAGCACCGGGACCATTTTCACGGCCCGGTGATTGCTGTCGTCTATAGCCACCCCACAGAAAGGGATCCCGCTTTCTTCCAGGGCCTCCAAGTCAACAATATCTATGTGTGGGGCAAGCACACAATTTTCAATACCTTCTCTTTTGGTTTGGACACCGAAAAATTTTTGAGCTAGGTCTGCCTCAGAAAATAATTTTCTCATCAAGTCAGAGTTACAATCTTCTGGTTTGTCGGTGCTGTTATTCATGACTGTGTGGAATGCTAAAGTGCTCTCACTCCCGGTCACAGCATCCTCTGCCTCACTGTCTGGATCCACAAAAAAGTCTGTTTTTGCAGACCAGTTGTCCCGTGTTATTGCTTTGTTGCGTTTGTATGCTTTGAGTGCCTTCTTGTGTTTGTCAGAGGACATGTGATACTCCAGATCCCCAGGACCTTTATGTGCGACGGACACAAACGTGCCAGGTTTGCAGACCAAACACTCTGCCTCGTAGTCATCTCTACCTTTGCGAAAATCAGGATAATTGCGCCTGGTTTTCTCAGTAAACAGACATTTTCTTTTAGACATTATTTCGTCTTCAAAAGGAACCTTGGAATCCTGCAGGGAACAAAGCGCAGAGTTTGAACTTCAAAGTTCAGGCTTTAAAAGAATACAATATAGAATCATAGGCCTGGAAGAGACCTCAGAGATCCTCTAGTCTAACTGTCTACCTGGTTGTCCAGTCTATTTTTGAAAACCTCCAGCGATGGAGCACCCACCATTGTGGTCATCAGTCAAGAATTACCTGTACAGGTAGTCCTCGACTTACAACAGTTCATTTAGTGAGCGTTCCGATGTTACAACGGCACTGAAAAAAGTGACATGACCATTTTTCACATTTACGACCATTGCAGCATCCTTACGGTCACGTCACCAAAATTCACCTGCTTGGCAATTGACTCACGTTTGTGACGGTCGCCGCGTCCCCGGGATCACTTCATCCCCTTTTGTGACCTTCTGACAATGGGGAAGCCAGATTCACTTAACAACCGGGTTACTAATATAACAACCGCAGTGATCCACATAACAAGTGTGGCAGGAAAAGTTGTAAAATGGAGCCAAAGTCACTTGACCAATGTGTCATTTAGCAACATAAATTTGGGGCTCCGTTGTGGTCTTCAGTCGAGGACCACCTGTATAGTACACGTCACTAGGTCGCTGTGAGAATGAGCGGGTGCATTCTCAAAAGTTTGTTCCTTTTAATGTCGGTTGCTAGCCATCCAGTGATAAATAAGCAGGCTAAACCAGGGGTAGGCAACCTTGGCTCTTTTAGGACTCGTGGACTTCAACTCCCAGAATTCCTGAGCCAGCATGGCTCAGCATGGAAACCTCCCTGGCTGGCTCAGGAATTCTGGGAGTTGAAGTCCACGAGTCCTAAACGAGCCAAGGTTGCCTAACCCTGGACTAAACTGTCATATTTCACTCTCTCTCTGGCTCTGCACCATCGGGGTCATGGAAAAGCCTTTGCTTCGTTTATTGTTCAGGATGTTTTGTGAATCCAGCTCGGTGCATGAGATCAATGGATCGTTTTACCAAAACAAAACAAAACAAAAAAAGCCTTTATCTTTGTTTCATGCAGGTCTGTTTGCATAAACCCGGTTGGGGTCCTCCACTGACAGCTGGATTCCGCCAGCAGAAAAAAAGGAGCAATTCAGACACTGGGTTTAGCGTGTCGTGGGAATGCAGGCCAGGTCGGGCTCCCGTGGCTCATGGAGACGAGATCAACCTACCTTCAGGGCACCGGTCCGCCGGGAACAAGCAAAAGCCGAGCAGAAACGCGGGGACCCTCCGCCGCTCACTCGCAACGCGCCGTATACGAGAGCATCTTTTTTTCCCCTTCGGGTCTCCAACCTTGGCGACTTTACGACTCGGGGACTTCAACTCCCAGAATCCCTCAGTGACTTTTCCAAATGCCCGCCCCGGAAAAGGCCTGGAAAGCAAGGAGGGAGGGGCCCAGGCTAGCGCATGTGCACTGACTAGTTTAAGCTGGCCCTCCCTCCTTTTTCTCCGATGACGTCAAGAGAGCGCCATCGGGGGCGGCAAATCAAAGGGGCCCGCCCGCGTGGATTTTCGGGGCTCCGCAATTCTGCGGCCGGAGCGGGGTTTTGCATGCTTGGCGGGGGTGGGGGTGCTTTATATCTTTTGCAACAGGGGGTCTTCAAACTTGGCCCTTTTATGGCCTGTGGACTTCAACTCCCAGAATTCCTCAGCCAGGCAGGCTGGCTGAGGAATTCTGGGAGTTGAAGTCCACAAGTCATGAAAGGGCCAAGTTTGAAGACCCCTGTTTTACAGGGTGCGGTGAGGGGGCAGTTCTTCAATATAATAAATAAAATAAATCAAAAGCAGGCTTGGCCTGATAACGTTTAAAGTTGCTTTGGCCATATGTGCAACGTTTTATTAAGTGCTAATCATTGATTAGCAATTTATAAGTTGGGTAACTCTACACGTATGGAAAACACAGCCCAAGGGTAGACGTTGGGAGTTGGACAATTCCTCTAAAGCAGTGTTTCCCAAATTTGACAATTTTAAGGCATGTGGACTTCAACTCCCAGAATTCCTCAGCCAGCATGGCTCAGCTTAGAAACCACTCCCTTTCCCCTCAGCATGGCTGGCTCAGGAATTCTGGGAGTTGAAGTCCACGAGTCCTAAAAGAGCCAAGGGGGTTGGACTAGAAGACCTCCAGGGTCCCTTCCTATTCTGTTATATGGAGGAGAAAGAGAGAAGGGTCTCCAGCTTGAGCAGGGGGGTTGGACTAGAAGACCTCCAGGGTCCCTTCCTATTCTGTTATATGGAGGAGAATGGAGAAAGAGAGAAGGGTCTCCAGCTTGAGCAGGGGGGTTGGACTAGAAGACCTCCAGGGTCCCTTCCTATTCTGTTATATGGAGGAGAATGGAGAAAGAGAGAAGGGTCTCCAGCTTGAGCACGGGGGTTGGACTAGAAGACTTCCAGGGTCCCTATTCTGAGAAGGAGAATGGAGAAGGGTCTCCGGCTTGAGCCGGGGGTTGGACTAGAAGACCTCCAGGGTCCCTTCCAACTCTATTCTAATTCATCGCTTGCTCTCCTTGTGCTGCTGCACCCACACGGGGGGCTTCCTGGAAGGGGCGCCACCTAGCGGAGGGGCGTGGCCAGTTCCTCCCCTCTCCCCCCCCCAAATCCGCCATGTGCAGACTCACTTCCTGTTACTGTAACAGCCGTCCTTCCTAACTCCCTCCCAAAATGCCCGTCACTGGGGCAGAGGAGGGAGAGAAAACAGCAGCAGCCAATTGTTTCACCGGAATGGCGTGACGTCATGGGGTGGGGTCCTAGGGCAACTTCAGAAAAGCTGACAAGGAAACGCAGAGGAGGTAGGAAAGTTTGGGGTTTTGTTCTGGGGGGGGGGTCCTGGGTGGTTTCCTTGCAGACGTTTCATTACCCAAACTAGGTAACATCATCAGTGCTAGAGGCGAAGGGGGTTTTGGGAAGAGGAGGAGGAGGAGGAGAAATAATGGGGGCTCTCTGAGCTTGGCTGTTTTCTTGCAGACGTTTCACTACCCAACTAGGGAACATCTTCAGGGCGAGCACGGTTTTTTCTTCCATCTGGTTTTACCCGCCTGTTTTCTTAGGATGGGAGCTTTATTGCGATTCAGCCTTTTTATTTGATCCGAGTTTCCTTAAATCCCAATTAGATAATCTTCGCTGTCCTTGTGGGCATAACGGCACATATTTAAAAAAATGAAATTTAGTTGCTTCCTCTCAAAAGTGTACACATACATAACACACGTTTAAACATACTATGTACGTCTTACACCCTTATTATATAAGTCACATATTAACATTATTCACTGCCCAATTAGGTTTGCTACGTCATGGGTATTTGTTGCTACTAATACAGGTGATCCTCGACTTACGGTTCATTTAGTGACTGTTCAAAGTTACAAAGGCACGGAAAAAAGTAATCTACACCAGGTAGTTGGACTTGGGGGACTCCAACCCTTGTAGCTGCATGTTGCGTAGGTTTTTATGCTACAATGTCCTGTTAAATCTTTATGTTCTGTTAATACACATTTTAATGTCTTAGCGCAGTGGTTCTCAACCTGTGGGTCGGGACCCCATTTGGGGTCGAACGACCATTTCACGGGGGTCGCCAAACAACGCAGTCCACCATTTTTTTCCCCCTTTTCCTTAGCTGTGCTACTCCAAACAATGCAGTCTGCCATTTTTCCCCCTTTTCCTTAGCTGTGAATAGAGTCTAATTCTATTGGCTTTCAAAAGCCAATAGGAATTGTCCAGGCTGTCTCTGCCCTGCTGAGCCCGCCAAAAGTCCCATTGTGCAAACGGTGCTGCGCCAGTTGAGTAGTCCTCGACTTACGACCAGTTGAGTAGTCCTCAACTTACGACCGGTTGGGGGTCCCGGCATTAAAAAGGTTGAGAACCACTGTCTTAGCGTGATACAAAGCCCTCTGCCTTTGGCTAGGCTTAGAACTGAATATGTGCGTCTGTTTAGTCTGTTCGCAAGCATACAATTTTTTTTCTTATCTTTTCGGTTACAGATGGAGGGGGACAAACTTATGGTACCCCCCAGTGGGGACCATGGGTCTCAGCGAAGTAGTGTCTCTTCCACTGGTCCTCGTGGTGAGTGAAAGGAAACTCTCCCCCCAATCCCCCCACCAAAGGATGTATGAGTTGAAAATAAAAATGTTCTTAAATGTATTTGTTTATTGTATGGGGCATCATACACGGACTAGCAATATATATTAACATTTCACTAAGGTTAGTAAAACTCCGTCAAATAGGAATGTTAAAAAGATCTATATTCAAATACCAATGACTAGGCCATCTGACCACTGAAACGCAGCACCGTTTATACTGTATTAAAAAAAAAAACCAGATACAGACAATCCTCGACTTACAACAGTTCATTTAGTGACCGTTTGAAGGTAAGACGATGCTGAAAAAGTGACTTATGACCGTTTTCACGCTTACGAGCGTTGCAGCATCTCCACGGCCACGTGATCAAAATTTGGACGCTTGGCAATTGGTTCGTATTTATGACGGTCGCAGGATCCTGGGATCCTATGATCCCCTTTTGCGACCTTTTGACAAGCAAAGTCAATGGGAAAACCAGATTCACTTAACAACTGGGCTACCAATTTAACAACTGCAGTGATTCACTTAACAACTGTGGCAAGAAAGGTTGCAAAGTGGGCCAAAAATCAAACTTAACAAATGTCTTGCTTAGCAACAGAAATTTTGGGCTCCATTGTGGTCGTAAGTCGAGGACTGCCTGTATCGGACCGGTATGTGCCCCCAGCTTGCAGCCAGTCATGATGTGCTCTACAGATTGATGTGGGAGCCCACTGAGGGGAGGACACTATGCCCCATTTATACAGAGAGAGTCCTGGCGGACGCCGCTGTGTGAGTTGCGAATCCTATCCAGGATTGTCCATGTCCTTAAATATTTTTTAGTAACGGACTTTTGCTTTACGTTCTGTCCTTGCCCACCTGGATGTTCTACCAGACTTAATTACCACCTCTGTGAAAGATCTGCAATCGCATAATATGAGAAGCTTTATTAGTTCAAAGTTTGGTTCATTTTTTTGTGATGGGTGGATTTGTTTTTTGTTTAAGGAATTGTGCGAAGCTGGAATACTAAGTTAGTTCAGTCATCGGGTTGTGTGCTGTTGGGAATACCGCAACTGTTGTTGTTTTTTTTACTCTTCCTTTCTCTCCCCTTCAGCCCAGGATGTCCTGGTTTATCTTGTGGATGACACTGTGGTGCGCCTAACGATGGACAACCTGCCCTCCGTCACAGCTCACGAGTTGCATCGGATGGTGTTGGATGTGCTGAAGCTGCCCGAATCTGCTCTCGAGATCTTTTCCTTGTGGCTGGTCTCTGCCTTCCTTGGTAAGTCTCCAAAGGCCCAGACTTCCCACCCTTCCCAAAGAGGCCTGGAGCTGCTTTACTGGCTGAGATGGCAGGGATGTGAAGGGCAAGCAGTTGCCAGGGGGCTGCCAGACTAAAGCTGAATGAATAGAAGAATGGAATGGAATGGAATGGAATGGGAATGGAATGGAATGGAATGGAATGGAACCAAATAAAATAACAGAAGAATAGAATAGAATAAAACAGGATAATAGAATAGAATAACAGAATAGAATAGAATAATAGAATAGAATAAAATAGGAATGGAATGGAATAATAGAATAGAATAAGAATAGAATAGAAAGGAATGAAACGGAATAAAATAATAGAAGAATAGAATAGAATAAAACAGAATAATAGAATAGAATAACAGAATAGAATAGAATAAAACAATAGAATAGAAGAATAGAATAGAATGGAATGGAATGGAATGGAACCAAATAAAATAACAGAAGAATAGAATAGAATAAAACAGGATAATAGAATAGAATAAAATAGGAATGGAACGGAATGGAATAATAGAATAGAATAAGAATAGAATAGAATGGAACGGAATAAAATAATAGAAGAATAGAATAGAATAAAACAGAATAATAGAATAGAATAACAGAAGAATAGAATAGAATAGAATAGAATAGAATAGAATAGAATAGAATAGAATAACAAAATTGGCAGGGACCTTATAGGTCATCTAGTCCAACCCCCCTGCCCTAGCAGGAGACTCTAGTCTACACCATTCCTGACAGGTGGCACTCCAGTCTCTTCTTGAAAGCCTCCAGTGATAAAGCTCCCACAACTTCTGAAGGCAACGTCTGTTCCACTGACTGATTGTTCTCAATGTCAGAAGATTTCTCTTTATTTCTAGGTTGAATCTCTCCTTGATCAGTTTCCATCCATTGTTCCTTATCTGGCTTTCAGGGTCCTTTGGAAAATAGGTCGACCCCCCCCCCTCTTCTCTGTGGCAGCCCCTCAAATATTGGGAGACTGCCATCATGTCTCCTTCCCTTCACTAGAC